GCAGTGAGGTATGTCGGCTTACCGGAGCGAATGTCTCAGTGAAGTCGCGTCCGTGTTCTTGGTCGAAGCCACGTACGACCCAGCGTGCTTTGAATTTGTCGATGATGCCGTCTACTTTTGTTTTCACTCCGAAGACCCACTTTCCTGTGAGAATTGTTTTGTTTCGCGCCACACTGATGGGGACGACTTTCCAGGTGTTGCGCTCCTCTAATGCCTTTAATTCCCTGTCCATGGCTTCGCGCCATTTTTCCTTATGCTGCCCCCCCGGAGCCTACTGAACTGTGGCAGGCTCCTTAGGAATGGCCGTGCTGTGGACTGCGGTGACGAGCCCGAGTATCTGGAGTCCACTCTGTGTGTAGCGGGGAAGTGACATGTCCGCGGGATAAACACCTTCGTCTCCCGCTTCTAGATCAGGTGCGAAATTGGCTCCTACACGTTCTGCTTCGTTGGTGTTGACTTGTGCAGGTGTAACGTAACCGTTGTCAGCGAGATGGTAATAGGTTTCGGCGTTGATGCTTTCGCGTGGGTTGTCGTCGTCCATTGGCACGTCGACGGAGCAGTAGGGGAGAGGTCCGGCTTCTTCCAAGGCTCCTTCTACGTTCTGCTCATCCCACTTAGCTTCGTCGTCTGCCGAGGCAAAGGCTCGGGTGCCAAGAAAACCATCGGAACGATCGGGGTTTCCTTCTTGCAAGTTGGCAAGGTAATACCGGAGGGAGAGGTTTTCGTAGAAGATCACATTACGTGCTGCTACTGTTTCCTTTGTCTCGACGTTGAAAATCTTCCATGCGTTGTAGTGTTTTTCGATGCCCAGGTGTAGTCCCCAATGTGCGCGTTGTGAGAATCGGCCAGCTCGTGCAGATAGAGGCCGGTACTGTACCATGCAGCCGAAGACCCTTAATATTTTTGTGCTGCCCAGTTTTCCTGTCCACAGCAGATGCGGTGATGCGTTGTTCAGGAGCGATGATGTAGGTTGTGCAGCATGACGGCGTGGTCCATTGCTTCGGGCCACTGGTGGTTGGGCAGGTGCATGCCACGTAGCAGCTTGCGCATGGTGTTCTGGAGGGACATGTTTATCCTTTCTGCTACACCCTGCTGTTGATGGGCGTAGGGAAGAGAGATGAGTCGCTTGATTCCTCTCTCTGCCAAGTATTCCTTGAACCTCTGTGAGGTCTATTCTCCTCCCCCGTCTAACTGGAAGCTTTTTAGTTTGACGCCCGATTCTCGTTCTGCTACTGGAAGCCAGGGAATGAAGGCTTCGAAGGCCATGTCCTTGCTTGGAAGATTTAGGTGCCAGACGTATCGAGTGGCTGCGTCGATGAAGGTGATGGTGTAGTTGTACGCGTTTTGTCCAGGCTCACAGTTGTACAAGATGTTGCTGTACACCTTCTCGAGTGGCGCGTAAGCTGGTGCGCTTGGGTTGTGGTGAGACGCGAACGGTTGATGCGGTAAATCAGCTTTGGGACAGGTGAAGCATGTTCCACGGGCTCGCTGAAGTTCTCTGCCGTCAGTTAGGAGTAGAGAGTCTTTATCGAGCACGCCTGCTCTTATCGTGTTGTTTAACACCGTGTTGCTTGGGTGTCCCATTCTTGCACGCCAGGTTCCTTCAGTTGCACGATGTTCGGGTGAGCGCCGATACATATCGGAGTTGGAATAGAAGCTGGCGGTGAAGTTGGCGCTTCGATGAACTTCTCGTGGTGCTGGGTGCAGTTGTTGCGCGGGTGTCGGTGGTGTGTCGTCGACGAAGATCGGTGCCATTGAAGGACCAGCGATTGGTGTTGATGTTCCTGCTGTTGTCTCTGCAGCTACCGATGTTGTCTCTGCTGCTGCCGTTGTTGTCTCTATTGCTGCCGATGTTGTCTCTGCTGCTGCCGATGCTGTCTCTGCTGCTGCCGATGTTGTCTCTGCTGCTGCCGAATGTTGAATTGTCACCAATGCTCTTGTTCTTTCTGCTTCAGGTATCGTGTGTGAATACCAGAAGCCGTCAAGGCTGAGGTCTGGGTCAAGGTCCAGTGGATGCGTCCAAGATGTGAAGGTGACGATGCCGTCACTGTCGGCGGTGCCGAGGTCTGGAACGAAGACATTGTTCTTCAAGACTGCCTTGCCGATGTAGAGTCCTCTTCTCCCATGGTACAACTTGAACTCCTGGGTGGTGCTGTCTGCTTCGAGGTGAATTCCTTTTGCCATCAACTGGCTGACGCTCAGTAAGTTGTAGCCGAGTCCCTCCGCGATTAATACCTTCGACATCTGTAGTATAACGTTAGTTTCTCTTGACTGAAGTTGAGCCACGCCTTGTCGTCGTGTGCGCAGGTTCTGGTTGTTGGCGACGGTGATGACTACTTCGCGTTGGAGTTGGTACTCTTGCTACACGAAGCGTCCTGAAGAGCACATGTGCTGTCAGCAGCAAGTGTCCAAGAACCAGGTATCTTTCCCGGATGGCTCGCTCTGGGCGATGGCTGCGTACGTTGGATTCGGTTGAAGTGACTCGCGGCGAGGTGTGGTGTTGTCGAGTTGTTCTTCCGGTGAGTAGTGTGGCAGTGATTCGGTGATGTAGGAGTCTGACAATTTTGCCATGCAGCTGATGATATTTCTTGTTCCTTTTGCAGATTGTGTTGACGGAGATGTCGTTGAGGACTGCAATTGACTTGTGGGGTTCGCTTGCGTGGAGGCGACTTGACTGCTTGAGGGTCGAAGCTGTCGTTGTGGCGGTGTTGACCGTTGTTGATTCAGGCAGTGTGTGCGCGGGTGTCCTGACGTCTTGTAGAGATGGCAGAACGGAGGTACGGGCTTTGGTTGTTGTCGGTTGTTGTTGTTGTTGTAGTGTCGTTGAGTGTGAAACGCAAATTCGGGTACTGATGCTTTCTTCTTGTGCCATTCCTCTTGCAGGTCCATGTCTTGTTGCTCGGCGTGTATTTCGGCGCAGAGTGCTGCTTCGGAGATTCTCCCATGAGCTCGGAGGATGGCCTTTGTAGCGCGCCATTGAGGGCCGAGGCCGCCGATGATGACTGTCACGAAGGCGTCTTCAGATATCGACCCTCCGCATCGAATGAGTTTGTCGCGCAGCTCGCGACAGCGGCTGATATGCGCTATTCCCTTTTGCCTGGTTTCATTTCCATTGTTGTCAACTGCGCCATTAGCCGACTCTGATTAACGCTGTCTGTTGTTTGGTACATGTTCTTCAAGTGGATGTATGTGAGTTCGGCGGAGTTGCCATATTCCCAGTAAGACCGTATATTCTGCTGCTGGTTCGAGGTGATGTTCCTCAGTAGAATCGTGTACGCCATCATTGACTGATAGGTGTACTGCTGCTTCTCGTACTGTGTGCCGTTTGTTGGGTATGGCAGGGATCCGTCGAAGAAGCCAAGAATCTGCGCGCCTTCCATCATTAACTCAAACTCGAACAACCAGGTGAAGAAGTCCTTTTCGTCGAAAGGCCTTGACGTCTGAAGTTTTAAAACGTGCGCGAATTGCGACTGAACTTGAAGTGCGTCCAGTGGTTTCTCCTGTCCAGGTGCAGGCTGCGGTTGTGGCATAAAGCTGACGGAGCCGCGCTGGGGCTCGTACGGAGCAAAGGTAGGTTGCTGCTGTTGATTTCCACGTGCGTAGGATGAACCGTCAAGACTCATTGGGGTCATGTTGTTGTTGTTGTTGTTGCTGTTGTGTGACTGCGCGGGTACCGATTGCTGGTGTTGCTCGTAGAAGGACATGAAGGAGAAAAACTTCTCCGTCATGCTCTGGTCAAAGCTTGCAGGTTGATTCGCAGAAGTCTCGTTGGATGTTGCCCTGGGTCTTGTTGCCGTACCCTCCTCTGTCTTTAGGCCAGAGGCAGGAGGTGGAGTAGGAGTAGTGCCGGAAGAACCAATAGAGGAACTCCTTTCCTTCTGAGTAGCCATGTCTTCTGATGTTGTAGGTGTTTTGATAGTTGAATTCCCCCTGATAGCTCTCATACCATCTTGGGCTGAGAAAAGCCCTTAGGATCTTTGCAGGGGTGAACTCTGGGTAGGACTGATGTAATAGCGGAAGCATTTAGTGAAGAATTGTGAACCACCTTGCACTAGTATGTGAGGGCAAAGTCGATTGATTAAAGCAAAGAGATACAGGATTATATAAGAGTACAAGAAATGTGAAGAGATACAGTTATAACTACTTTACTGTTGCTGTTGCGGTTCGATACAGTGACGACTCGGGCAACTGCTCTGTAGCGAGTCAGTTGTGTGTCCTTGCTGTCGCGCTGTACTTGTCAGGTCAAAGGTCGCTGACCTTTGACTTTCGCGTAACCTCCAGCAGTTTCTTCAACCTCCGAGGGTTGACTCGCTGGTGCCTCGATATGCTTTGCTTCGCTTGTGCCTTGGTGTTTCGACACGACAGAGGCGCTTAAGCTTGATTGTTTCCAGCACAGATGAAACATACGGTAATTGCTGGTTTAAGAAATCAGATGAAATGAAAAAAGTAGGTCTGATTTTCAGACCATCAGACCGATTCGGGCAGATAACCAGAGCCCTGGGTACAACCCTTGGTTAGGGTTGCTATTTGTACCACTCATCCTGCTTTAGTCAATCCTTCCTGTTTCCATATTCTGACACAATAGCCTGCGGGTTTATGGCTCACCTCACCCACATGCGTGCGTGGCGTGGTCAGTGTGGTCCATGTAGTTTATACTGAAATTTCAGTGCACAATTGAGAGGGGCAGCCCCTCAAATATGCTGATTTTTCAGGGAAAACGAAAATCACAGCTACAAAATCAGCCTAATCCCTGTGTTTTACACTGATAAATGAGGGCCTTCTCCCCCGCACTTCCCAAGTAAAGGGGAAGTGGCCACTCCGCACAATATCCCAGAATTCCATGCTACAGGCACACCCAGCAGGCACCAGTGCACGCAGTCCTGCTGCCCTGGTGCCTTGCCATCCTTGTCATACCACTGACACGTGCACCAGCAATAAGTATTAGAATCGAAAATACTGTAAGATACCGTAAGAACCCACTGCAATTTGTACAGTAGTTGTTACATGTCTTGAACCAGCCTGCTGCTGCCATCCCTATCCCCTCTCCCTTGCACTTCCCCAGACAAGGGGAACCGACCACTCCTCACAATCTCCCAGAACAGCAACTCATTCCAAGTGTCAGGCACACCAGGCAGGCACCAGTGCACGCAGTCCTGCTGCCCCGGTGCCTTGCCGTCCTTGTCATACCACCGGGACAGGTGTGCCTCGGGGCGCAGGGCAGACAGCGCCGTGATGTTCAACAGCCGCACTGCCGTGCCCTCCACTGCTGCCTCCGCGTTCCAATCCCGCGACTGGAAATGCAGCCGGTCTGTCTCCTCCTGAGTCAGCATGCTCTGGGGGAAGGGGGGGGGGAGGGTTGGGGGAGAGGGTTGGGTGAAGAATGTGGAATGTGAAATGTGAGAAGGGCAGGCACCAGTGCACGCAGTCCTGCTGCCCCGGGGCCTTCTCGTACCACCGGGACAGGTGTGCCTCGGGGCGCAGGGCAGACAGCGCCGTGATGTTCAACAGCCGCACTGCCGTGCCCTCCGCTGCTGCCTCTGCGTTCCAATCCTGCGACTGGAAAAATAATTGGTCGGCTTGCTGCTGAGTCGGCATGCTCTGCAGAAATTTCGGGTTTCAGGGTTTGGGGTTTGGGGGTTGGGAATTGGGACTGGGAGTTGGGACAGGTAGATTGAGCAGCTGCACCGCAGTATCTTTAACTTCAATCAGCAAAAATCTCCCACCTTTCTATACTTGCTCTAAGAAACACTACCATGCTCACAGCCCTGAATAATCCTAAAATAACCGTTACCAACCCCGAAAAACCCTGAGCATCGCTAACCCCTCACCTGCAGCTTGTCACAACCCCCGCCATTGTTCCATTACCCAACCATGAAATGTGCCGGCGACCGCATCACCAGCAGCACCAGTGGCAGCAGTGGCAGCAGCAGCAGCAGCAGCACCAGCGGCGGCAGTGGCAGCAGCAGCAGCACCAGCACCAGCGGTGGCAGTGACAGCAGCTGCACCAGCAGCATCAGAGGCAAAGCACCAGCAGCCCATGCTTTCATCCCCCAACAATCCCCAACCCCTCACCTGCAGCTTGTCACACCCTCCGCCAGTGTTCCACTGCCCATCCATGAAATGCGCCGGCGACCGCGTCACAAGCAGCACCAGTGGCAGCGCCCGCACTCCCCCCTCTCCCCCCTCTCTCTCCGCACCTTCCCCCCTCCCCCCTTCCCGCATCGCAACCAGTCGCATCCTCTCCCTCTCCTCGGCTATCGCCTGCAGCTGACGGTGAGTCCAGAGGGCGGTCGAGCGCAGCACGGTGCGCATGGGCACGTTGAAATCACCTTCCATCTCCTTGTGCACGTCTGGGGGGACCGGGACCCCGTGCAGGTGGAAGTGCCACCTGTACTCCTGCATCTTGTTGCTGGGAGGTGGGAGGGGAGAGGATGGGGGGAATGAGGGCATTGGGCAGAGGAGTGCAGCACGGTGCGCATGGGCACGTTGAAGTCGCCCTCCATCTGCTTGTGCGCGTCTGGGGGGACTGGTATGCTGTGCAGGTGGAAGTGCCACCCCTATTCCTGCATCTTGTTGTTGCGGGGGATGGGAGGGCAGGGGATGGGGGTATGGGGGACTAGGGAAATGAGGGTATGGGGGGGAACGCACGGGCAGCACGGTACGCATGGGCACGTTGAAATCGCCCTCCATCTCCTTGTCTGTGTCTGAAGGGATTGGCAGCAATCCCATATGGAACTGCCACCCGTCCTGCATCTTGTTGCTGGGGGGAGGGAGGGAAGGAGTGGAAGAGGGGGGGAAGATACTAAACCTCTCCTTTCTCTCCTCTCCCTCCGCGCCTCTCCCTCTCCTTGGCAATGGCCTGAGCCTGGCCTCACTTGAAGGTACTTCAAGCTCTCACAAGCAACCGTTTGAAATGAGTGCAGAGGCAACTTCCGTCGCAACCGTTTTAGGCCGTTGAAGGAAGACGGGACTTCTGTCGGGTCCGTCAGAGACAACAAGGTTTTGCTCCACATTAGTGACGAGCCGAAAAGCAATGTTATCAAAGAATACACATTCGGTAAGTTTCTCGCGAGTTGCGTTTTTTTCAAGTATGCCCTTTGTTAGGCAAGTACCTGACATTTGGAACCGTGTGACCTGTTTCATATTACGCCTTCAATGAGAGTTGTGCTTCAAAAGATGTTTTCGACAAAAGCACGCGACACATTGTTACAGCTGCTCTCCAAGGCATCGATAGTTAGTCGCATTGCATCTCGAGTCCCATTTGATTGCCAATCACACGATTCTTAGGAGTGTCGATTGGCTTGAGTTGTCGTGTCACAGCATGTTGAATGTATCATCGTGGACTCTTCAGGTACCCTTCTCGCTTATAATCAAACGAGCAGCGGCAAGACTTTTACTATGAATGAAGGTGTCTTCCTTCTCTGCATCCGACAGGTGTTCGGCCACATCGAGAGCGAGGTAACAGATCAACATCTCAACATCACAGCCTCAAGATGTTGATCTGTTACCTCGCTCTCGATGTGGCCGAACACCTGTCGGATGCAGAGAAGGAAGACACCTTCATTCATAGTAAAAGTCTTGCCGCTGCTCGTTTGATTATAAGCGAGAAGAGTACCTGAAGAGTCCACGATGATGCAGTCAACATGCTGTGACACGACAACTCAAGCCAATCGACACTCCTAACAATCGCGTGATTGGCAATCAAATGGGACTCGAGATGCAATGCGACTAACTATCGATGCCTTGGAGAGCAGCTGTAACAATGTGTCACGTGCTTTTGTCGAAAACATCTTTTGAAGCACAACTCTCATTGAAGGCGTGATATGAAACAGATCACACAGTTCCAAATGTCAGGTACTTGCTTGACAAAGTGCATACTTGAAAAAAACGCAACTCGCGAGAAACTTACCGAATGTGTATTCTTTGATAACATTGCTTTTCGGTTCGTCACTAATGTGGGCAAAACCTTGTTGTCTCTGACGGACCAGACAGAAGTCTCGCCTTCTTTCAACGGCCTAAAACGGATTGCGACGGAAGTCGCCTCTGCACTCATTTCAGACGGTTGCTTGTGAGAGTTTGAAGGACCTTCAAGTGAGAGCTTTCTCACTGAGCCATGGCGTGCAGCTGCCGGTGAGCCCACATGGCAGAAGAGCACAGCACGGTGCGCATGGGCAAATTGAAGTCGCCCTCCATATCCTTGTGAGTCTCTGGCGGAACAGGGATGCCGCCTAGGTGAAAGTGCCACCCATACTCCTGCATCTTGTTACTAAAGGGGGGAGGGAGGGAGGGGAAGAGGGGAGGAAGATACAGAAAACATTCTTCCCACTCTCTCTACTCCCGCTCTCCCTCTCCTCGGCTATCTCCTGCAGCTGCCGGTGAGCACACATAGCATGGGGATGCAGGAATGGGGAGACAAGTGGAGAGAAAACGATGTGTAACGACAATGTGTATAATAACTCATCCTCTGTACACTTTTTGGGCAGCTTTCTTCGTTATAAGCACAGATTTCAAAACACACATGTCCTGGAAATAGAGAGCAATATGATTACATACATCTCCATTCACATGTCCTATTACCACTATAATCACACCCATCTCCACTCACATGTTCCAATGGTGCCTTGTGTTCATTATAATCACATCCAGCTCCTCCATATGCTGCCTCGAGACACCAGCCAGTACCACACAGCAATACCTCTCCCCCCCTTTGAAGTTACACCCCTCTTCACTCACATGTTCCAGTGATGCCCCGTGTTCATTATAATCACATCCATCTCCTCCATATGCTGCTTCAAAAACTCGTCAGGTTGGTCCAGGTGGGCCGCCTGTCCCGCTGACTCGTTCGCCCAATCCTTGCGCACCACATGGCACAGCGACGTGGTCCACTTGAGCACCACTGTGGTGTTGGTTTCAGGGAAGCGGTAGGCTGAGCCCTGCAGTGGTGAGAGTGGGTGGGGGAGAAAAAGCGAAGGAAGAAAGTGAGAGTTGAGGAGTTGAGGAGAGTTGGGACACCTGCCACCCACCTGCCACCCACCTGCCACCCACCTGCCACCCACCTGCCGCCCACCTGCCGCCCACCTGCCGCCCACCTGCCGCCCACCTGCTGCCCACCTGCCATCCGCGCCAGCCAGCAGTCCAGTTGAACTTGTAGTCCGCTGTCACGTGACTCGATGTGCGGATCGTGGGAGCGTGGCACGGAGGGGAGATGGGATGGGGCACGCTTTGAGACACCCCACAACTCCCCTCCACGCCACCACCCACCCAACCCACCCACCCACCCACCCGCCCACCTGCCATCCGCGCCAGCCAGTTGTCCAGTTGAACTTGTAGTCTGCTGTTGCGTGACTAGATGAACGGATCATGGGTGTGTGGCGTGGGGGAGAGATGAGATGAGGCACCATCTGAGACACCTCACAGCCCAACCCACCTGCCACCCACCCACCCACCCACCCATCTGCCACCCACCTGCCATCCGTGCCAGCAGGTTGTCCAGTTGAACTTGTAATTGCTGTCTCGCGACTCGATGTACGGCTCGTGGGTGCGTGGCGTGGGGGAGTGCCTTGGAAATGGGAGAGACGCACCTGCCATCCGCGCCAGCCGGTTGTCCAATTAAATTTGTAGTCGCTGTCGCGTGACTCGATGTACGGCTCGTGGGTGCGCGGCGTGGGGGAGATGAGGCAGAGGAAGGAGAAGAACTGCTGCAGCCCCACTGAGTCGCCCACAAACGCCACCTTCTTGTTGCGCAGACTGGGAGCAATGAGGATGGGAGAGTGGGTGGGGAATCGACGGGGGAGTGGGAGAATAGGGGTGGGATGGGAGAGAGGAGGGGCATGGGAAGCAGGAGATGAGGCAGAGGAAGGAGAAGAACTGCTGCAGCCCCACGGAATCGCCCACAAATGCCACCTTCTTGTTGCGCAGGCTGGGAGCAATGGGATTGGAGAGTGGGGAATGGACGCGGGAGTGGGGGCATAGGGGCGGGATGGGAGAGCAGGGAATGGAAGGCGGAGATGAGGCAGAGCAGCGAGAATAACTGCTGCTGGCGCACTGAGTCGCCCACAAACGCCACCTTCTTGTTGCGCAGACTGGGGCCGGACTGAAGCATAGGGCACTCGGCACCCCTGCGGCGGCTGCCAGCGGTACATCCAGGAGAGGAACGAGGGGCGGTCCTTGCATCGCCTCACCAAGTAAAGCACCACATCCCATCTAACCCATCCACACCCACCGTTCTTTGAGCCCAGTGCGGTTGAACCGGGGCACGCGGCACCCCTCTGGGTGCCTTTCTGTACTGCTCGTACATAAAAGAAGGGCGGCCCTCGTTAACCACACCGACCAATCCTCATATCCTTCCCACCACTCCTTACCCTCCCAGTCATCCACCCATCCACACCCACCGTTCTTTGAGCCCAGTGCGGTTGAACCGGGGCACGCGGCACCCCTCTGGGTGCCTTTCTGTACTGCTCGTACATAAAAGAAGGGCGGCCCTCGTTAACCACACCGACCAATCCTCATATCCTTCCCACCACTCCTTACCCTCCCAGTCATCCACCCATCCACACCCACCGTTCTTTGAGCTCGGTGCGGTTGAAACGCGGCACTCTGCATCCCTCTGGCTGCCACCTGCACTGCCCGACGTAGAGGAAGGAGGGGCGGTCCTTGCGGCATACCAAGAAGCAAAACCACACAAACCAACCCAGTCTCCTCGCATCCATCCACACCCACCGTTCTTTGAGCTCGGTGCGGTTGAACCTGGGCACCCTACACCCCTCTGGCTGCCACCAGTACTGCTCGTAGAGGAACGAGAGGCGGTCCTTGCGGCGGCACGTCCAGTGGGGCAGAGGGAACTGGCACACCCACTCTCCTCACATCCCACCCACACATACATACAAACCCCACAACCACACACCCACCGTTCTTTGAGCTCAGTGCGGTTGAAACGAGGCACGCGACACCCCTCCGGCTGCCACCTGAACTGCTCGTACAGAAAAGAGGGGCGGTCCTTGCGGTGGCAGATCCAGTGGGGTAGCGGGAACTGGCATGTGCTGCCGGAATACAGCGGGTGCTGCTGCTAAAAGTCCCTCACCCACCACCCCGTTCCCCCCCCCCCCCCCCTCTCTCTCCCCACCCCGACACACGAGGTGGACAGAGCACGTACCGTTCTTTGAGCTCAGTGCGGTTGAAGCGCGGCACGCGGCACCCTTCTGGCTGCCATCGGTACTGCTCATAGAGGAAGGAGGGGCGGTCCTTGCGGCGGCACGTCCAGTGGGGCAGAGGGAACTGGCACGTGCTGCCGGAATACAGCGGGTGGTGTTGAGAGTCCCTCACCCACTCCCCTGAATACAGGTCGCAGGTTTCCGACAGGAGCGGCAACGGCTGTCTTCTTCTTCTTCTTCTTCTGCTGCCTTTCCTCCCTTTTCTCCTTGTCGTTCTGTGCTTGCTGGATGTGATGTTTAGGGTTGGTGAGCGGCTAATCCCTGCCCCTCCCACGTGATCAATTCCCGTCTCCTCGTTGACTGTTCTCACTAGACTAACACCCGCTTGCTCCTGCTGCTGCTCCTGTTCCCCTTCGTCCTCCTCTCCCACTTGCGCCCCCCACTCTTGACCTGATTGCACTTTGGCAGCATTCTCATCGCCACCAGTGGCAGCATCTACGTGGTTACCACTACCATGGTTACCACTGGCGTTGCTACCACTGGCACCAGCAGCAGCAGCGTCTCTTTCACCAGAAGCAGCAGCACCGAGCCTATCAGCAGCACTGATTCCATCTCTTTCCCCAGCAACAGCAGCACCATCCATCAACCGTGCTCTCTCTGCCCTCTGCTCTCCATCTGTCTCCTCCTCTGACTCCTGCTGTTGCTGCTGCTGCTGTTCCATCCCCTCCATAAGCTTCCTTGCTTCCTCCACTGTGGCAGGGGATGGAAGGGCAAGTAGTGCCATGCCATGGCATGGTGAAAAGTCATTGTGGAAGCGAGTAAGCTTATGGAGGGGATGGAAGAGCAAACATGGCTGTGGCGACACATCACCAGATGGAAAAGCAGCAGCAGCAGCAGACAGGCCTTAGCAGCAGCAGACAGGCCTTAGCAGCAGCAGCAGCAGCAGACAGGTCTTAGCAGCAGTAGCAGCAGCAGACAGGCCTTAGCAGCAGTAGCAGCAGCAGACAGGCCTTAGCAGCAGCAGACAGGCCTTAGCAGCAGCAGCAGCAGCAGACAGGCCTTAGCAGCAGCAGACAGGCCTTAGCAGCAGCAGCAGCAGACATGCCTTAGCAGCAGCAGACAGGCCTTAGCAGCAGCAGCAGCAGACAGGCCTTAGCAGCAGCAGACAGGCCTTAGCAGCAGCAGACAGGCCTTAGCAGCAGCAGCAGCAGACATGCCTTAGCAGCAGCAGACAGGCCTTAGCAGCAGCAGCAGCAGACAGGCCTTAGCAGCAGCAGCAGCAGCAGACAGGCCTTAGCAGCAGCAGCAGCAGACAGGCCTTAGCAGCAGCAGCAGACACGCATTAGCAGCAGCAGACAGGCCTTAGCAGCAGCAGCAGCAGACATGCCTTAGCAGCAGCAGACAGGCCTTAGCAGCAGCAGCAGCAGACAGGCCTTAGCAGCAGCAGCAGCAGACAGGCCTTAGCAGCAGCAGCAGCAGACAGGCCTTAGCAGCAGTAGCAGCAGCAGACAGGCCTTAGCAGCAGCAGCAGCAGACAGGCCTTAGCAGCAGTAGCAGCAGACAGGCCTTAGCAGCAGCAGCAGCAGCAGCAGACAGGCCTTAGCAGCAGCAGACAGGCCTTAGCAGCAGCAGCAGCAGACAGGCCTTAGCTGCAGCAGCAGCAGACAGGCCTTAGCAGCAGCAGCAGCAGCAGACAGGCCTTAGCAGCAGCAGACAGGCCTTAGCAGCAGCAGCAGCAGACAGTCCTTAGCAGCAGCAGCAGCAGACAGGCCTTAGCAGCAGCAGACAGGCCTTAGCAGCAGCAGCAGCAGACAGGCCTTAGCAGCAGCAGCAGACAGGCCTTAGCAGCAGCAGCAGCAGACAGGCCTTAGCAGCAGCAGCAGCAGACAGGCCTTAGCAGCAGTAGCAGCAGCAGACAGGCCTTAGCAGCAGCAGCAGCAGACAGGCCTTAGCAGCAGCAGCAGCAGCAGCAGCAGCAGCAGACAGGCCTTAGCAGCAGCAACAGCAGCAGCAGACAGGCCTTAGCAGCAGCAGCAGCAGCAGCAGACAGGCCTTAGCAGCAGCAGCAGCAGCAGCAGCAGACAGGCCTTAGCAGCAGCAGACAGGCCTTAGCAGCAGCAGCAGCAGACAGGCCACGTACAGAGGTACTTGTCCACGTCAAGGGGAGCCTCGTCATCCTTGAAGTTGCAGGGTGCTTTTGAAAATCCTCGAAAGCACTCTTTGAAATATCTAAAAACTCTTGTATTAGACACGAGCTGCAAGCACAAGGCCACGTACAGAGGTACTTGTCCACGTCAAGGGGAGCCTCGTCATCCTTAGCACCAGCCTCAGCTGCATCCTCGTTAGAAGCGTCCTCGCTAGCAGCACCTGACTCAATCCCACGACCTTCAGCAGCAGCAGCAGCAGAAGCGTGAGCATCTCCTCCCGCAACACCTCCGAAAGCTTCACCGTTACTTCTCCTGCCATCTACGCTGATAGCGCCGTCTCCGCGATTCGCGCTCAATTGACCGTTGCCTTCAGTCGAACCGCTTCTTGATCCGGCGATTGGTAGATCCGCAACAGGAAAAGCAGCATCTTTCCGTATCCTAGCCTCATGCCGACTCGCAATCCGTCTACCGGCAAACACCGCGACAGACAAAGCAGTTACGAACACGAGAACCACTGAAAATGCTGAGCGAAACGACACGCCCGTTCTCCCGCTCTTTTCCCTCCCTGATTGCAGCGACGAGCCTTGACTCCCTCCCCCTCCTCCGTCCCCTCTCGAATCTGCCGAGCCCGCGCCGCCGGCTCGGCCATGCCGCGACAAGGCGGATTGAGGCTTGGAGGCCTTGACGACGGAGGCTTGGGAAGAATCGGGAATTCGGGAGTCCTTCTTGCGCGGCTGCATGGAATTTTAACGCGAATGACTGATTATTCGGCTAAATTACGATAAAAAACGGCACGGAGGGGAGCAGGGACGAAATGAGTGTGTAACGTTGAGAGAAGCGTGTAGTTGAGAATCGTCAGCGGGAACGTTGCAGAAGGCTTGTTGAAAGATCGTGTAGATAACAGGGACAAAAGCATATTCCGTTGCCGGGACTTGAACCCGGGTCTCTCGGGTGAGAGCCGAGTATCCTAACCGACTAGACTACAACGGACATATCAACCTCTGACAAGAAACAATTTTAAAAACGTTTTTTGCTATGTGTCGTTCGAGACTTCGCTAACCACGTGATCACACGATCGAATGAACCCGATCGGTTCGTTGGAAATAGCGGCGCAGCACACCTTGGGATTGACGTCGTCGCTCATCCAGATTTCAGCGCCAAGTTCAGATGTGGAAGTGAGGTCGGTCTAATAAGAGTTTCTGCGTTTTAGAGCGGTTCGTATGTATTGATCGAAACACCAGCACCGCGTGATAGAAAATAAACCCGCCTTGTTAGAAGGCTTTACGTCAAAACAGGCGTGAAGGCTGGCGGGTCACGGTTTTACGTACCTGGTTCGTTTAGCGCGGCCCAGTACGTTAGAAAAGCACAGAAGCACTAATTTCGCAGCGCGTGCGTGGCTGGCAGCAGTTGAACAAGCAAGGCTCGCTCGGCTGAAACCCCGCCATTTATAGTGCACGGGTGTCAATGCTGTCATCTAGTCTCGCTCCAGCACGAAACGCTTCAGCAATGGCGGCTACATTTGCGCAGTCCACGTTATCTAGGACGTCCCTGCAATCGCTATCTGTGCCTTCCGCATTTCCTGGACACATTGGGCCGAAAAATATCAGCAAGAAGTCTAAAGCATGCTCTCTGTTCACATCCTGGTTCGGTCAGAATCTGCGAGCTCCTATTGGTCGAGCCAGCTCGGGCAGGAATGGCTGTTTTCGGATTGGCGGAGCCGCGGGAGCGAGAGCCGTGGCGGCGACGGAACGATCGGCGGCTGATCGCATTGGTTCGAACGAAATGCCGAGTAAGCCTAGCGTCGCGCAGTGCGTGGTGCAGTGCGGTATGATGCGCTGGGTTATGCTCCAGTGCGGCAGAAAACGTCGTAACGATTGGTGACGTGCTGGAGTGCATGGCAGCGGCGGCTCGAAGGATTCCGCATTTTTCGCAATCTCCGCGCGCTCTTCAGTCCCATGCTTCTCATGTTCACCCTTTTCCAATACCTTCACTGCCTCGCCGTCGTGCTGCGGACGAGGCGGTTTATCCGTCGACTCACAATAATGCCTCACATTCAGCCGGTTCCGATGTGATCCTTCTTTCTGCCTTAAACTTGCCTGCCTTACCTTCGTGATGCAGATGAGGAGGCCTTCCTCCGTGCGGTGTCGGCGGGAAGCAACGTGATTCCCATTTCCCGCCGCATTTTCAGCGACCATCTGACGCCCGTCCTCGCTTACCGCTGCCTTGTTAAGGAGGACGACCGCGACGCCCCCAGCTTCCTCTTCGAATCCGTGGAAACTGCCAATGACGGCCGAGCCAGATCCGTGAGTGGCGCTTTACTAAGTAATTACTTATCCGGTGGGTTGCATTCGTGCGTGGTGTTTTACAGGGTAAATAGCTCATTGTCAGCCGATGTAGATGTGAAAACACAGAGGCGAGAAGGCAGCCGAGCAGGTGCTGCGGATGTTGAATCGTAAAACCCCAAACCCTGCCGACGCAAGTGTGGTAGGTAGACCCTCAATAATGAAGCCAGAGCCTCGTCACGACCTCGCTTTCGCATAAGTGTACAGGTTCCTTGTATCTCTCACGAACAATCCCTTCCGCTCCAAGGTTGTGGCACGGTAGGGGGGGCGGGAAAGAAGTGAGTAGTGAAGAACTTTCTCTCGGCCCCTCCCTTACCCTTTCTGCTTGCCTCTCTTCCCTGCAGGGCCGCTACTCGTACGTGGGAGCGCAGAGGGGTTGGGTTGCAAAGTAGCATCTCTTTCCAACCGCACCATTTGCCTTGTGTTTCGGTTCCTCCCCTACTTCCACCATCCACTTCTCCCCCCCCCCAGGGTCGCTACTCGTACGTGGGAGCGCAGCCAGCGCTGGAGGTGGTGGCGAGGGGAGTGGGCCCAGTGTCCGTGGTGAACCATGACCTTGGGAAGAGGGAGACGATCGAGGGCAAGGACCCGCTGCAGGTGAGGCAGAGACTGGGGTATAATCGTGGGTTTGTGGGTGACAGCTGGCACTGGAGGTGGTGGCCAGGGGAGTGGGCCCAGTGTTGGTGGTGAGCCACGACCTTGGGAAGAGGGAGACGATTGAGGGCAAGGAGCCGCTGCAGGTGAGTAAGACAGAGACTGGGTGACACGACACGAGGGGTGAATGTGTGCTCATGACAAGTGTTATTGGTGGCGTGCATGGGGCCAGTGTGGGTGGTGAGTGAACCATGGCCAGGGGGCCAGGGATGGAGACGAGATACCTGAGGGCAAGGATCTGCCGCAGGTGACGATGAATGAACAGAGGGGATGCTGCTACGTTGATGCATGGGGTATGACATGGTCACATGGGTGTGACGTGTAGGGGGATGCCACGTGTAAACAGATATGTTTTGAGACGTCTCAAGACATCTCTGTTTACACTAAGTTGATGCATGGGGTATGACATGGTCACATGGGTGTGACGTGTAGGGGGGTTGGTGGACGCGGCGCCGGGGTCAGGGTCAGGGCCAGTGCCAGTGGCGTATCAGGTCACACTGTGTGTGACTGTGACTATGTCACACTGTAATACACTCAATCTAAAAGTGCCTGCTCTGATTTGATTTCCCATGCTGCCTATTTGAGTCGACTCGAAAGTGTCTGTCCTGCTCCCCCATGCGGTTACCGGAGGCCAGCTGCTGGTAGTGGCTCACCTCGGCCTTGAAGTCCCTTTCTTGACTGTCTGACTGACCGAACCCCCAATCCCTCTCTCTGCCCTCGCCCTACCCATGCCGTCACCAGGTGGTGCAGGACCTCTCGGCCACCTGGAAGCCAGCTGCCTGCGACTCTCTGCCGTGGAGCTGCTTGCTTGAAGCGGTTTTTGAGGCAACTCAAAGCCCGCCCATTCCTCTGTCCGCCCTCACCCCACCCACCCATGTCGCCTCGCCACGTCACCAGGTGGTGCAGGATCTCTCGGCCACCTGGAAGCCAGCTGCCTGTGACTCTCTGCCCAACTCCTTCTGCGGTGGGTAGTGCTGCTGCCACTTGTTTTGAGTCGACTCAAAACTGCGGTATGTGGTAATGCGGCCACTTCTTCTGCTGCGGTCACTGCCGCTGCTTGCCTCGGCAACCCCTCTTTCCTTGTGCACTCACTGCTGCTGCACCTGATCTGGATGCCACGCGCCTGATGCCAGCTAGCTACTGCCCAGCCCCTTCTGTGATAAGTGTTTGAGAATCACTTGAGCGCTTAGTTTTACATAGCGAGTACTGCTGTTGTTCTTTTGCTTAAGCCTAGACTACACAACTGCTGCTCTCTGAGAATTATGACTGAACACCACGCCTGATGCCAGCCAGGATGCTGCCCGTTTTTTTTTAGAATTCTCAAGAAAACCCTGCAGCATCATCATGGACTTAGATACCCTCGGTTTGTTACAGCATGGAAGTTACCTAGCACAACTGCTGCTTCTCTCTGAGAATTATGACTGAACACCACGCCTGATGCCCTGCCAGCCAGTTACTGCCCAACTCCTTCTGTGGCCAGTGATGCTCCAAGTCGTTTTGCAGCGAGTGCATGCTGTTCTCTCTCTCCCGCTCTCTCTCCTCTCTGCGTGCCATATTCGTGTCACCCTCGTCGCTCCTCGTACCCAACCTCCTCCCTTTCCTCCCTTTTGCTCCTCTCTCTGGCCTCTCTGCACCATAACACCCAGGTGGCTGGGTGGGGTACACCTCATACGACTCGGTGCGCTATGTGGAGTCCATGACGAAGTGAAATGCTCCCCTTCTTTCTGTCTCCCTTCCTCTCCCCACTGCCCCTCTTCCCCCGCCCTTCTCTGTCACCAGGTGGCTGGGTGGGGTACACCTCATACGACTCGGTGCGCTATGTGGAGTCCAAGAAGCTTGAACCAAAGTGGCGCTCTTCTTCTTTCCCACCACCCCTCTTGTGCTGCCATGCCCTCTTTTGATGCCCCCCCCTCCACTCGTGCTGGTCCCTCCACTCTCTTCTACTCTACTCTATCCTCAGGCGGTTGGGTGGGGTACACGTCGTACGACTCGGTGTGCTATGTGGAGTCCATGAAGCCTGAATGGAAGTGCTGGTTTCCCTTCTTTCCTCCCCACCCCTCACTCTGCTCTTGTTGGTTCCCCCACTGTCCTCTGCCCTATCACCAGGCGGCTGGGTGGGGTATACGTCGTACGACTCGGTGCGCTATGTGGAGTCCAAGAAGCTTCCTTTCTCCTCTGCACCAATGGATGATCGCCACCTGCCAGACGTGCACCTGAGCCTGTACAACGATGTGGTGGTGTTCGACCACGTCACGAAGGTATGCGGTGCGGTGCAGTGCGGTGCGGTGCAGTGCTGTGCTACATTGTATGTTTGCTTTTTGAGGCGCCTCAGACAGAGAGCCACCTGCCAGACGTGCACCTGAGCCTCTACAACGATGTGGTGGTGTTCGACCATGTCACCAAGGTGTGCAGTGCAGTGCGGTGCGGTGCGGTGCTGTGTGCTGTGCTTTGCTGTGGTGTGGTGTCGTAGGGTGTGGTGTTGTGTGGTGCGGTTTGCTGCATTCTATATGAGGCACGTCAGAAGGCCACCTGCCAGACAGACGTGCACATGAGCCTGTACAACGACGTGGTGGTGTTCGACCATGTTACTAAGGTAGGCGTGGTGTGGGTGTTGTGCGGTGCTGTGGTGTGGTGTGGTTTGCTGTGCTGTTTGGTATTTGAGCCACCTGACAGACGTGCTCCTGAGCCTGTGCAACGACGTGGTGGTGTTCGACCATGTTACTAAGGTGTGTGTGTGTGTGTGTGTGTGTGTGTGTGTGTGTGTGTGTGTGTGTGTGTGTGTGTGTGTGTGTGTGTGTGTGAATCGGGGAGAAGGAGGGGGGTTGCACGTGGACGAGACGACTACCCCTCCGCCTCAGACGCCTTCTGGTCGGGTCCCTGCTGCTCGCCCCCAATTGTTCTCCCTCCTTCCCACCTCTTTCCACCCCTTTCCACCTCTTTCCACCCCTTTCCACCTCTTTCCACCCCTCTCCACCCCATGCAGATGCAGATAGTGCACGTGGTGTGCTGGATGCATGTGGACGACTACCCCTCCGCCTCTGACGCCTTCTGGTCCAGACCCTGGTGCTCTTCCCTACTTCTCCCCTCACTCACCCCTCTCCACCCTTTTTCCGCCCCTTTCTATCCCTCTCCACCCCTTGCCACCGCTTCTTTCTCTGCAGATAGTGCATGTGGTGTGCTGGGTGCATGTGGACGACTACCCCTCCGCCTCTGACGCATTCTCGTCGGGCCTCTCCCGCCTCTCCACTCTAGTCGACTGCTTGCAGCCCGCCTCCGCGTGAGTTTCAGTTTCAACTCAGCGCTGGTTCGGAGCAGGATGAAGCACCAAGTATTGACATGACAGACACCATGGCACCTGCTTGGTGCTCTATTGGTCTCTCTCTCTCCCGCCTCACCACGCTCGTGGACTGCCTGCAGCCCGCCTCCGCGTGAGTTCCGGTTTTTAGACGACTTGACACTCTTCCCTACCAGCTTCCCAACCAGCCTCACTCTCTCCGGCCTCACCACGCTCGTGAACTGCCTGCAACCAACCTGCACAGTCCACGACGACGCGGGAGTAGTTTGAAGCAGCCCATTCAATCGTGAGTTGGGATTTTGAGATGTCTCGGAACCCATTTTGCCCCACTAGCCAGCCAACTTCTGTTCCTCCCCGTGTCACCACTTTCGTTGACTGCTGCAGCTAGAGTTTGAGGTTTGAGGAGTATCAAAACTCAGTAACGAGTCAGACCCTTGCATCTCCCCATCTTGGCTCTCACGCATCAAACTCACTCAAGAGCTGGCCTCGAAAGACGAAGAAAATAGGCCCTCTTCGCTTCCTCCCCTCCCCCACCCCCGTGCTGCCGGCAGGTTCAGTGAATCTGGACACAAGGCAGCAGGGCCCGCCCGCACAGTGTTCGATGACAAGGGAGCAGTTTGAAGCAGCGGTGCTGGAATCCAAGGAGCACATCCCCTCTCTCCTCCTTCTCCCCTCCCCGCTCCCACAGCCCTGTACTGCCGGCAGGTTCAGTGAATCTGGACACAAGGCAGCAGGGCCCGCCAGCACAGTCCACGATGACGCGGGAGCAGTTTGAGGCAGCAGTGCTGGAGTCCAAGGAGCACATCCCCTCTCTCTCTCCTTCTCCCCTCCCCGTTCACCCAGCCCCGTGCTGCCGGCAGGTTCAGTGAATCTGGACACGAGGCAGCAGGGCCCGCCAGCACAGTCCACGATGACGCGGGAGCAATTTGAAGCAGCGGTGTTGTCTTCAAAGGAGAACATCCTGGCGGGGGATATTTTCCAGATCGTGCTCAGCCAGCGCTTTGAGAGGCGCACGTTTGCAGATCCGTTTGAGGTGTACCGGGCGCTCAGGATCGTCAACCCCAGCCCTTATCTGGCCTACCTGCAGGTGTGCTAAAGAAAAGGCAAAAAACAGGAAATAAGTGGGAACAAACCAGGGTTGTTGTAGTCCTGGTGTGGCTTGGAGTCTAAGGAGCACATCCTGGCTCCTTAGACTCGATCTGGGATATTTTCCAGATCGTGCTCAGCCAGCGGTTCAAGAGGCGCACGTTCGCAGATCCCTTGGAGGTGTATCGGGCGTTGAGGATCGTCAACCCCAGCCCTTATCTGGCTTACCTGCAGGTTTGTAGAAAAGAAAGAAAGAAAGAAAAAAAGACAGCAAATAGCAAACAAACAAAGGGACCAGGGTTGGTGTGGTCTTGATGTGGCTTGACCTGAGGGAGCAGCAGGAGCAGTAGGAGCAGTTTGAGGCGGCGGTGCTGGCTGGCGGTTAAGGAGCACATCCTGGTGGGAGATATCTTGTCTTGCAGATCAGATCGTGCTTAGCCAGCGGTTGGAACGGCCCGGGCACCATGCAGAATGCTCAGACTAGACCTTTGAGGTGGATGTGTGTGTGCAGTGCAACTGTGCGTGCGGGCGGGCAGGGCACCATGCCAGCCCAAACCGCGTGTTTGCCTGTGCTTGCCTGTGCCTGTGCTCACCTGTGCCTGTGCTCACCTGTGCCTGTGCTCACCTGTGCCTGTGCTCACCTGTGCCTGTGCTCACCTGTGCCTGTGCTCACCTGTGCCTGTGCTCACCTGTGCCTGTGCTCACCTGTGCCTGTGCTCACCTGTGCCTGTGCTCACCTGTGCCTGTGCTCACCTGTGCCTGTGCTCACCTGTGCCTGTGCTCACCTGTGCCTGTGCTCACCTGTGCCTGTGCTCACCTGTGCCTGTGCTCACCTGTGCCTGTGCTCACCTGTGCCTGTGCTCACCTGTGCCTGTGCTCACCTGTGCCTGTGCTCACCTGTGCCTGTGCTCACCTGTGCCTGTGCTCACCTGTGCCTGTGCTCACCTGTGCCTGTGCTCACCTGTGCCTGTGCTCACCTGTGCCTGTGCTCACCTGTGCCTGTGCTCACCTGTGCCTGTGCTCACCTGTGCCTGTGCTCACCTGTGCCTGTGCTCACCTGTGCCTGTGCTCACCTGTGCCTGTGCTCACCTGTGCCTGTGCTCACCTGTGCCTGTGCTCACCTGTGCCTGTGCTCACCTGTGCCTGTGCTCACCTGTGCCTGTGCTCACCTGTGCCTGTGCTCACCTGTGCCTGTGCTCACCTGTGCCTGTGCTCACCTGTGCCTGTGCTCACCTGTGCCTGTGCTCACCTGTGCCTGTGCTCACCTGTGCCTGTGCTCACCTGTGCCTGTGCTCACCTGTGCCTGTGCTCACCTGTGCCTGTGCTCACCTGTGCCTGTGCTCACCTGTGCCTGTGCTCCATTGCCTGTGCTCCATTGCCTGTGCTCCGCTTTGCCACCTGGCAGGCACGTGGCTCCATCCTAGTGGCTTCAAGTCCCGAAATCCTCTGCCGAATCTCAGGCTCGGTGAGTCCAGCTCGTATTTGCTTCAGGCTTGGTAAGTCCAGCTCATGTTTTAAGGCTCGTTAGCGCAAATCTGTTCTAGAAATTTGGATATATTTCACGCACGGGAAGGTATATCCATCTTCCCATTCATCCCATGCCTGCATTCTCCCCCTTTGTCCAATCCATTGTCATCTCGCATTACAGACTGTGGTGAATCGCCCTCTAGCGGGGACGAGGAGGAGGGGGCAGACGGCAGAGGAGGACTTGGCTCTGGAGGCTGTTTTTGAGTCGACTCAATAACAGGCTCTGGAGGCAGACCCGCTGGCGGAGGAGAAGGAGGAGATGTTGATGATTCTCGCCTGATGGCAGTGTTGGAGCGTTGGAAGCAAGCTGCCGAGACCAGGAGAATCCTAATGCTCGCCTGCTCTGCTCCCTCCCCTGCTCCTCTGCTCTCTCTTTACTCTTCTCGTATCCATCTCCTTGCACCATTATCGTTTTGTGCTGCAGACCGTGGTGAACCGGCCACTAGCGGGGACGAGGAGGAGGGGGCAGACGACAGAGGAGGACCTGGCTCTGGAGGCGGACCTCCTGGCGGATGAGAAGGAGGTGGCTGAGCATGTCATGCTCGTGGACCTGGGAAGAAACGACGTGGGGAAGGTGAGGTTTGGGGAAGGAATGAGCTGAGATGGGGGGTGAATGAATAAGGCGCATGGTTGTCTTTGTGGCTCTGGAGGCTGACCTACTGGCGGATGAGAAGGAGGTGGCTGAGCATGTCATGCTCGTGGACCTGGGAAGAAATGACATGGGGAAGGTACGATCTGGGGAAGGTACGACCTGGGGAAGGTAGCATGTGACTTTTTACTATTCAAACAAGACATGAGAAGGAGGAGCAGCGGATCATGTTATGCTGGTGAACCTGGGGAGGAGCGATGCGGGGAAGGTGAGATGTGAGGAAGATGTGATGTGGGGGAGGGTGGGCAAGATAACTGTTCCCTTGAACATGCAAGGGATGAGTAGGAGGTGGCGAGCATGTGATGCTGGTGATCCTGGGCAGGAAGGACATGGGGAAGGTGTTTTCTGGCAGGTGGTAACAGAGGCAGGTTGAAGCAAGGAGGTGGCGGAGCATGTGATGCCGGTGAACCTGGGCAGGAAGGAACCAACCACGTGGGGAGGTGCTGGTTTGGTGCTTCACTGCCACCTACACCTTGTAGTCCATTCCATGACAAAATGTGCCATGCCATGCCATGCCATGCCATGCCATGCCATGCCATGCCATGCCATGCCATGCCATGCCATGCCATGCCATGCCATGCCATGCCGTGCTGTGCCATGCCATGCCATGCCATCTCGTGCCATGCAGGTATCCGTAGGGGGGTCATGGAGCACCCCAACCCAATCTCTCAATGTATCCCATGCCATGCTATGCCATGCCATCCGACACACACCCACACCATGCATGCCATGCAGGTGTCGGTGGCGGGGTCAGTGGTGGTGGAGAAGCTCATGGAGGTGGAGCGATACTCGCATGTCATGCACATCAGCAGCACGGTATGTACGGCCACCATGCGTAATTGCGTTGCGTTAGCTACACTGAAGATTCTTGTGGGGGTTCCACCAGTGCAATGAGCTGAAGCCCCCCAAGTTCCAGTGTTGCATTGTGATGTGGTGTGATCCCTTGCATCCTCTGCCCGCCCCTGGGGATTCATGCAATCTACTCACCTTCTCCACTGCACTCTCCCGGGGCTTCACGCATTCAACCATTTCCCTTTCGTCCTTGCATTCGCACACTCTCTCTGCTTCTCCCTCCCCTGCTCTCACCCTTGAGAAATCTCAAAGCGACTAAGGTATATCTTGCTTCTGCTTGCTGCGATACAAAACCCTTTTTCAACTCCGCCACAGGTCACCGGGCAGCTGCTCCCCCACCTCACCTGCTGGGACGCTCTGCGCGCCGCCCTCCCTGTGGGCACCGTCAGCGGTGCCCCAAAGGTGCGAGCCATGGAGCTTATAGATGAACTGGAGGTGACTCGCCGGGGACCCTACGCGGGGGGCATCGGGTACGTGTCGTTTGCAGGCAACATGGATTTCGCCCTCGCCCTCCGCACCATGGTCTTCCCCACCTCCTCCGCTAGCCGCTCCGATACCCTCTTTGCCTACAACAGCAGCAGTGGTAGTAACAGTGGCAGTGGCAGGGGTGGTGGGGCAGGGGCAGGGTTGAAGCGGCGGCAGGAGTGGGTGGTGCATGTGCAGGCGGGGGCGGGCGTGGTGGCGGACAGCGTGCCGGCAGCGGAGTGGCAGGAGACCGTCAACAAGGCTGCTGCTCTCGGCCGCGCCATCGACCTCGCTGAGTCCGCCTTTGTGCACGCTAACAGGGAGTAGGGGCAGCAGCAGTGGTTGGCAGAAGCATAAGCAACGCCATCAGTAGCAGTGGCAGTAAAAGCAGTGGCCACACCATCGACCTCGCTGAGTCCCCCTCTGTACACGCTGACAGGGAGTAGGGGGCAGCAGCAGCGTGAGTAGCAGCAGGAGCAGCAACAGCAGCAGTAGCAGCAGCGGCTGTTCCATCGACCTTGCTGAGTCCGTGTTTGTGCACGCAGGCTGACAGGGAGTATGGTTGGGTAGGGGGTTGACGCAGCAGTGGTAGCTGCAGCAGCAGCGGCAGTGGTGGCAGTAGCTGCAGTGGCAGCAACTATAGTGGCGACCTTGTTGAGTCTGTTAGTGCATGCCCAGAACGGGTAGGATAGAGGGGGAAAAGGCGATTGGTAGGTAGTGGTAGCTTGTGGAGGTTAAGTGGGTGCTGACAGCAGCAACAGCAGCAACTGTCTCTCAGCTAATGAGGGGATCTGATGGCAGCTAATGGTAGCTTGTGGTTTGGACGATTGTTTGCTCTTGGGGATTAAACGGCACCTTGTGAGACAGTTCACGGCTTTGAATCATGGCCCAATCCCAACGTGTCGAAGGCCATTGTAGGTCATCACCATATCAATGCCAGTACACTGTCTGCACGTGTAACATTTTCTGTGCACTGCTACATTGCTGAAGAAACTGCAAAATCATGCCTGCAGAATCATGCATGCACTGTAAAACTATGTACAATTGCAGGCATGATCGGTAGCAGCAGCCACATCTACAATTCATGATCAGCCGGTTAGGCCCACACTGCCTGCTGCGTAAACATAACAGTATCATTCGACAACTCTTTGTGCCTCGAGAGTGAAGCGTTATGTTGTGCAGGTCAGCCAAGGGCAAAGTGACTTCTGAGTCGACTCAAAAGTCACCAGGTCAGCAGAGAGCGAACGTGCCGGACGTGTACCCGGAGGAGCTCTTTAGCTGTGGCTGGAGCTGCAGCTTCAGTTCATACACGCCTCACCAATCGCTTCTTTCAGGTCAGCAGAGAGCGAACGTGCCGGAACTGTACCCGGAGGAGCTCAGTGGCTGTGGTTGGAGCTGCAGCTTTAGATGCGCCTGAAAAGCCGCTTTGTGCAGGTCAGCAGAGAGCAAATGTGCCAGAAGTGTACCCGGAAGTGCTCAGCTGTTGTGGCTGGAGCTCCAGCTTTTGAAAGGGGCTGCAAGGGAGGTGAGAAGGCGATGGGATGAGAGCAGGAAGAGAAGGAAAGAGAGACACACGCATTCATTATGTCAGGTCACATCCAGCTTCTTGCTGAAAAAGCACATACCTTGCTGAACCACCACACAACTCAAGCCAGTAAATCAAACCGGAGGGCTGTTCACTAACTTCGCTTCACAAAATATATTATTTTTCTGCAGTCAGCCCCTTTGAAGGTACCTTCTGCTGGGGTCGAAATAGTAGCCTGTGACACTGCCGTCGTTCCGATTGAAGCACACGTAGTAGAAGCCCGCTATGGTGAGCACACACCACAATCTGGTCGTCCGATTAAGTCACGGTGACACCCCTCTCTCCCCTCACCCCGCCCCCCCCCCTCTCCTCACCCCTCCCTCCCATACTCACCTGCTGCTGGGGTCGTAGTAGTAGCCTGTGACACTCCCGTCCTCCCGATTGAAGCACACATAGTAGAAGCCTGCTATGGTGAGCCCACAGTCCGGCCCCACGTTCACAAAGAACTTCTCCTTCCACCGCTGCAGTGAGCACACATGAACCAGTGAAGTGGGAGGGGTGTGAAAGAGATGGAAGCATGTTAACAAAAGAACTTCTCCTTCCACCGCTGTGCATGGGAAGCAATGAAAGGGGAGGGGTGTGAAAGAGATGGAGCAACCTTCACACATCACTTCTCCTTCCACTGCTGGAGTGGGCACACAGGAAGGTGGAGGGAGACGTGAGGGCGGGGAGAGGGGGGCAGACGTGAGGGTGGGGAAGGGGCCGGAAGAGGTGAATTGGCAAGGAAGGGAAAGAGGTGGAACAACGTTTACAGATAACTTCTCCTTCCACTGCTGCAGTGAGCACAGGAAGGAAGCAGTAAAGAGGCAGGGGAAGTGAGAGCACATAAAGTGGGGAGGGAAAGTGGAAGCCTGCTATGGTGAGCCCACAGTCTGGGCCCCCGTTCACAAAGAGGTTGGGGGAAAGGGAAAGGAGGGAAATAACGACATTGAAGAGACGAGGAGGGCAGAATGAGGGCTGCCTGAATAGAGCAGAGGGACGGAACACTGTTCTTAGAAAGAGCATGGTGACAACGAGTCAGGGGAGGAATTGATTCAGATGACACATTGCGCAAGGTAGGTGATGAGAATCGGTTTCATGCTTACTATGAAGATGTAGGGGAATGTTGACAGAGCTGCATGGAATGAGACAAGCTTTCTCGTCAACTCAGAACATGACACAATGCCCAGCGTGATGAGATGAGGTTTCATGCTTACCATGAAGATGTAGGGAAATGTTGACAGATCTATGGATCGAGCTCCGTCCTCGAGTGCTGCTTCCTGAGACGTAAGAGCAACAGCAGTGCTATGAATGAAGCAGCAACAGTTAAGATGGAAGACGGCCGACTTCACAGATGCGAGGTGCTCAAATCAGGTGCTGTTTCGCCGACGGTGAAGCTAATTTATTGTGACAATAAAGTAAGGATGAAGGCAAAGAGGTAATAGCACACCTTCAGTTGCGCAAAGCACGGGAAGCGAGACCAGTGCTTGATATCAGTTTCACGACTGGCGGAAGGGAGTATGATATCAAGGGGAGGGGGGAGAGCGAATGCTATCGATGCTGGTCTACTACCACAAGACGAGTAGTCATGAGAACTAGTAGACGTAAAAGAACAGTGACATGGGAGAAAGAGAGGAGCGCAGTGAGAGTGGTGAGGGAGTCTGCTGGAAGAAAAACGGGAGTGTATTGGGGAACGTGGGCATAGAACGGAAGGGAATGTTTTGTGTTCTGTAGACATTAGAGCTCAAACACGTTCCCAAAGTCATGCTCTAATGTGTTTGGGCATGTCTCTGCTGAGCTCAAACACGTTCCTGTCCCGTCCACAGTCCCTCCGTCTCAACACGTGCCATCAGCATGTCAAGCATGTTCTGGCCTCACCATGAGCATCTTGAGACCAACCCAGCACCAACAGACAACATGTAGTTGACAGCACTCACGTGGCGTCCCACTGGCCGGTGAAGAAGGAGTAGTTCTTGCCGTCCACAATCTCCCCGTCCCAAAAGGTCACCACCTGCACCCAGAGAGTGGTAGGTGGTGGTGGCACTAGGTTTAGTGATTTCAAGGTGCGCCGGTAGGTGTACTACGTACAATATAGCACATCAATCCTTTGTCCCAAAAGCCAACAATCCCCTCTACCCCCCCTCTCTTTCCCTCCTTCCCACCCCATGGAGTTATGATTTTTTTTAACCCCTGATTGAAAGCACGAATTTGCTGCGACCCGCTTACTCATTTCGTCTCAAGCCATGTGACGTCCAGCTCACCGATGTGTCAGTAGAGGGAACGTTAAGAGCCTCCATAGACCCACACAGGTACCCTCTCCGCATATCGCACTGCTGGATGCGCACCGTCACCCGCCACGCCTCGTCCCGCTCCATGCCTGATAACGGCGGAGAAGAGTCTCCTGAGGAAGAAGAAGACGACACGTTCTGCGTTCCCACAAAAGCCTGTATTTGTGGTGGAACGGGGGAAAAGAGGACGCGAGGGTACGAAGAGTGAGGAATGCTGCGGTGGGAGGGATAATGTTGGAGTACGCTTACACAACACCATTTTTTCGAAATCAAGGCGGGTCATGGGGGCTGGAGTGCTGGTAGTCAGAGAAGTGGCAAGACAGTCTCGAAAAGCGGGTAGAACACGACACTACATTAGTCGCGGGTAGCTTCCGGGAGCTGAAAGCTGAACGAAATACGACGCACCTGCCCTGGTTCTAGGAATGAACAAGTTGAACTAAATGGAGAATCCTCGTCGTCCACACCCTCGTACTGTTCTTCCCAAGCCTCTATATCCTCATCCTCTAATTCCCTCGCTTTCATTGTCGCTGGACACGAGTTCGGGTCGCACGCAGGTGCCTGTGACTGTTCCTCCGAGTCCCGTGGAACGCGCGAGGGACTACCCATGTCTTCGCCAAATGCCATGGAGCACAAAACATTTATGAATTTAATACATTTGTAATAGAAAACGCCACCTAGACGTTTGGCGCAAAAGCTTTTGTTCCACTGTGGTTCTGTTTCACATCCGCTCTTCTGTATGTATTGATAATACGCAAAACGTGTATTGAGTGGGAGTACAGATGCTACACACACTTCATCACCTTATTCACAGGGAAACACCAACTACAAAACCGTTCTACTGGATGCTTGATATTTTTACTGTGCTCGAGTTCTTCTCGCAAAGAATCACAGACGGTCTATTGTAATCCCGTTGGTGGGCCTGTGAAGCTTAAAAAATTCCTGTGACTCTGCAAGGCACAAAGCCAGATTTAGGTGTTTTGAAGAAAGGCACGCACAGTTTACCTCTTGCGAGCCTCCAGCTGCCTAACATTTCAACAATTCTCTCCAGGATGGCTTCCCTTAGGAAGCAAATTAACAACCCTGTATGGTCTAACCTGAAACCTTGAGCACAGCTGCAGCATCAGTCGATGAAAGCCTTTTGCTGCAATATCCCTCCCATGGTTCGGATGTCCCCTGGCTCTCCGCAGTAGCATCTTCCATAGCAACATATAGTGAATGAAGGTATACTGCAAGCTTACGAGCTGCTTCCCGTCCCTCTGGGACTTGGTCCTTCATCTGAGTTGCAGCTATCTTTAGAAGCACATCCAGCCCAATAAGCTTGACCTGATCCGTGTTCTGTAACACACGGACAACAAGATGTAAGTTGACTCAAACAGGTACGAACAAAACGGAGAGCAGGTATGGAACACAGCCACTGTCTCACCAGTCGAACTGCCGCCTGGTAGGCGTAAATCATTGCCTTTGACCGGACTCTCGGGCTCTTATGCGCGATGCACGTTTGAAGCGCTTTCAGGGTGACTTCAGGATTAAGAGTCGAAGCCATCGTGGAAAGTGCACGGTCAACGGCTTCAACCATGAACTTATTATCTTGTGAAGCTTGGATAAGCAAAGGTTGCATCTGCAGAGCAAACAACGATTGACATCAAAGCCCTGATGGACTTATAAAAAAAACAACAGTGATTACCCAGAAAATAACGTACCAAGGATTCAAGCGACCCTTCCATGCACGTCGTGTTAAACCTAAACAGGTCCTCCAAGGTCATCCATAGCGTCTTTCTGAGAACGCTCCTGGGGTTCTTCAGGGACTTCAGCATCGGATCAAAATAGGATTCGCTGCAATCGCGAACACATGTCAAATGGGTTAGAACGTCCGCGACGAGCTCCAGGCACGTTCGAGAAAAAAAGAGGAAATAAAAAAGGTTCACGGTTGTTCAGCAACATACAGTCTTCCGGTCAGGTGTTCGCTGTTGAACTTCGCAACCCTCCGGAGTTCAATAAGCCCCTCGCAAACCACGAACCAGTCTTTCGATTCAAGCTTCGCCCCAATACCCTGCACGCGTGAATAACATCACCAGTGAATAGGATATTCGCCATTTGAAACTAGCTCCAATGCTGGCAGTGCGCTAGCTAACTTACGGCAAGGACGCTCTCCAAATCTTCAACGGGCTGAAGTTCCTCAGTTGGAACATACTGAACCTCGACGGTTGCAACACACTCTTCAGCCATAGCTCTAGGTGAAGGTAAAAGAACGGGATCCTTCGCGGTGTTAGGGCGAGTAGATACTTGACCTGAAGGAGAAAGAGAACGGGATTTCACGGTGGCTGATCGTGTATGATGCAGAAAACTGTAGTGGGTTTGTTGCTGCTGGCTGAAATCTTTTGTTCCCTGAATCACATGCATCCGTCACTTGGATGGATGACCAGACGATGACCCCCCTGACACACTAGTTCCGCTTTGAGTAGTCCGCTCTACATCGTTCATCAACCATGCTGCTGATGCGGCACGAATCACCGTTCGATTGGCAGGCGGCTCGACTCTCTGACACACCTATGTCGCTGTCAGGTTCCATACAACCAATGGGACTCATCAGATTATTACTCGGATTCTTGTAAACAGTACTTTCATTTTATATCGAGTGAATTATGAAATCAAGTGCTTGCTGCTAGTGCTTCTCTTGCAGCATTAAATCACAAGCCTGAATGTTCTTCAGTTTCTCGCTATTTTACCAATTGCTACCAAGAATGGTCATCCTTTGCCACTATAAATTTTCATGAAACAATAGACATTCAATTTGAATAGACTTGCCCATCACTTCACATAACCATGCAGCGCTGCACCACCCTCACCATTCAACCATCTGCATTTACAGCTGCAACCGCCGGCTCACTCGATACTAGTGCATCACCATCAATGTCACCATTCACCACACCACCAGGCCGACTCGGCATGGTTCCATTTGCCGTCTGTTTCTTCCGGCGCTGCACTTCCAGGAAAATGAGCAGAGCTGTGATGTCAGCAGGGTTGACCCCACCCAGTCTAGACGCCTGCCCAATGGTGGCTGGGCGAATCTGCAGCAAGTCAGCAGGTGGGAGTCAACATATGACGGGGCATAGGCGAACACGAGCACATGGGTTTGACACATGTGTACACATGCCAGGATAAAGCATCATGCAATACAGTGCACGTGTATGCACGGGTGACATCACCACAATAAGCGCTGCTTACATCATCAAAATACGCACAGGAGAAACCAAGGAAGAAGAAGATGAAATAGAGGAGGTGCAAGCATGTACCTGGGAGAGCTTTCGCGGGCCACCTTGGATATGGTGGCAATGGAGTCTTAGTCAACGTTTGAGTCGACTCAAAAGATAGAAGTTACAAGTATGTACCTTGGAGAGCTTCTCGCGGGCCTCCTTGGAAACGGTGGCAATGGAGTCGTAGTCAATGTCCTCGGGAATGCGGCGGTGCTCCTTGGCTACCACCTGCTCCAGCTGCTGCTTCTGCCTCTGGATGAACCCCTCATACTTCAACTCCACCTCCACACACTCCGCCTCCCACGCTGACACCACCGCCCCTCCCTCCCCCCACTCCCCCACCGGCCCCGAACCACCTTCCGAACCACTTTCCAAACAACTATCCGAACCACTTTCCGAACCAGAGGAGGAGGAGAGCGGGGTAGGGGCGCCCATGAGGTTGAGGTCTTGGAAGAGGCGGTAGGTGACGTGTGGGCGGCGGAGGATTTGATCCAGTGTTGTGCCGTGCCGCACTGCGCCTGACAGTTCCTCTATTGCTGGGATGGCTGGGTGCGAGGCTGGGTGGGGAGGGGAATGCATGGGGAAAACAATGTATGAAGAACAAGCACATGAGGATATGGAAGGGCGCCCATGAGGCTGAGGTCTCTGAAGAGGCGGTAGGTGACGTGCGGGCGGCGGAGAATCTGATCCAGCATTGTGCCGTGCCGCACTGCGCCTGACAGCTGCTCTATTGCTGGGATGGCTGGGTGTGAGGCTGGGAGGGTTGGGGGATGCATGGGGAAACAACGCACAGGGATGCATTTCTAGCCGACGCAAAACCCAGCTGCGTTAACAAGTAAAGGTACTTTGAGAAAAAGTACTCCAGCACTCGCCAGCTTGTACATATATTTATATATATATATAACGAGACGCATCAGAGCCCTTCCTACCTCTTAACCCCCTTGCCAGCATGTATTGCTTGAGCCTCTCTTTCTCAGCGTCCATCCTCGCCCGCCTCGCCACAACAGGCCAAAGCACCCCATGCATTTCTGATCTCATACACGTGCGATTTCTGATCTAAAGTCCCCACGCCCCAACCCTACCTGCCAGCTTGTATCGTTTGAGCCTCTCTTTCTCAGCATCCATCCTCGCCTGCCTTGCAAGATACATGCCCCACCGGCGATCATCAATCAGCCCTATCTCGCGCCCCATGGGTGTCAGCCGCACGTCGGCATTGTCTGACCGCAGCAGCAGCCGGAACTCTGAACGGCTGGAGGGGAGGGGAGGAGAGGAAGGGGAGAACTAAGCCCACCATTAATCAGCAAACAGTCAATGAGCCCTATCTCCCGCTCCATGGGTGTGAGCCGCACGTCTGCATTGTCTGACCGCAGCAGCAGCCGGAACTCTGACCGGCTGCAGGGGAGGGGAGGAGAGGAAGGGGAGAACTAAGCCCACCATTAATCAGCAAACAGTCAATGAGCCCTATCTCCCGCCCCATAGTGAGCCGCGTGTCGGCATTGTCTGACCGCAGCAGCAGCAGCCGGAACTCTGATCGGCTGGAGGGGAAGCAAGAGGTAGTGGGGGGGGGGATGGGGCAAGGGAGAAGAGAGATGTTTGACTCAAGCATGCCCCACCGGCGGTCATTAATGAGCCCTATCTCGCGCCCCATGGGTGTGAGCCGCACGTCTGCATTGTCTGACCGCAGCAGCAGCCGGAACTCTGAGCGGCTGAAGAGGAGGGCAAAACAAAAGGTGGGGTGGGGGATAAAGTTGGCGAATGGGGCAAGGGAGTCAAGAGGCGAGTTGAGTCAAACATGCCTCACTGGTGTAAGCCTCAAGAGGCATGTTTGACTCAACTCGCAAGGGAGGCATGTTTGACTCAACTCGCAAGGGAGGCATGGTTGACTCAACTCGCAAGGGAGTCTATGAGTCAATGAGCCCTGTGTCTGGTCCCATGGGTGTAAGCCGTACATCGGAATTGTCGGACTGCCGCAACAACCGGATTTCGATTTCTGAACGGATGGAAGGGGGGGCACGGAATGGGGAGGAGAGGAGGAGGCATGGGGAAGAATGTGATTTGATTCCCCGGGTTGTCAATCGACTTGACCTCCCACCCATGGGTGTGAGCACATAGGGGAAAACGAAGGGCAAGATGAAGTGGGAAAAGATGAGTTCATTCCCCAGCACTGGCACCGGCACCACTACATGCCACCCCAGAGCTTCTTCAGTTGCAGTGCTGCCTCGTCCGACCGATGGCAGCAGCAGCTGGATGGACACCTTAGCGGCAATAGCGGAGGGCATGGAATGAGTGAGAGGACAAATTACACGACACAAACCAAACCGCTGTGCAGCATGAGCAAGCACTCAACGATCACCAATCCTTGACGACGATCGTTGGACGGAGGAGCAGCCCACGGAGGGTCCATTCTGCTGGTCAATGTCAATCCAGTCATGTGATTCCGCGTCTCTAATGTGGTCAAACCAGCCAACCCCGAGTGATTCGATCAGCTCATCATCCTTGGTCCAACCAGCTCTCCAACCAAAGAGGTGAGTTGCCCCTTCCTCCCCTAGACTCCTACCTACTGTCCTACATATTCAGCATGTTGGTTGGGAACCTACTGTCCTACATATTCAGCATGTATAGATAGGACTTACGCCTACCTTGTGAGCATGCGGTACGGCTCCCTCAGATCCTTGGTCACCAGGTCGTCAATTAGAGTGCCGATGTAGCTGCTCTCCCTCTCCAGCGCGATCAACAGTTTCCCATCCGCCAGCCTAGCCGCGTTCATCCCTGCGATCAGCCCCTGCAGTGAGAGAGGTCGTATAACGGGAAAGAAATAAAAACGAAGAGCATTGAATCTCATCTCAACGCGCGTTGTTCAAGGGCCAGAAATGTGCAGGGCTGACTCATGCGCATGACAGATACTTGAACACACACAGAGCAAGGGGCATCGATCCAATCCACTCCACACCACCACCCATTCACATCTTTGTACGCACTGCAAGCAGTAGCCTCCTTCTATCTCGTTGTGCCGTTGATCTGCCCGCTGAAAAAACAGCCCCTCGATCCGCTCGGTCACGAGCGTGCGTTGGCACTGGTATGCCGGCCGGCAGGTAGTCATGCTCCACTGCATAAGCGGGCTGTGTAAGGAAGACAGGCAGCATAAGTCCCCACCTGCGCAGCAGCCTCTTCATAGCCCCCCGTGGTGCCGTTGATCTGACCGCTGAAGAACAAGCCCCTCAACCCGCCTGGTGGTCATGAGCGTGCGCACATGGGGGCTCGAACAGTATCAGCACAGGAATCCGACCCACCTGCGCAGCAGCCTCTTCATAGCCCCCCGTGGTGCCGTTGATCTGCCCGCTGAAGAACAAGCCCCTCAACCCGCCTGGTGGTCATGAGCGTGCGCACATGGGGGCTCGAACAGTATCAGCACAGGAATCCGACCCACCTGCGCAGCAGCCTCTTCATAGCCCCCCGTGGTGCCGTTGATCTGCCCGCTGAAGAACAAGCCCCTCAACCCGCCTGGTGGTCATGAGCGTGCGCACATGGGGGCTCGAACAGTATCAGCACAGGAATCCGACCCACCTGCGCAGCAGCCTCTTCATAGCCCCCCGTGGTGCCGTTGATCTGCCCGCTGAAGAACAAGCCCCTCAACCCGCCTGGTGGTCAAGAGCGTGCGCACATGGGGGCTCGAACAGTATCAGCACAGGAATCCGACCCACCTGCGCAGCAGCCTCTTCATAGCCCCCTGTGGTGCCGTCGATCTGCCCGCTGAAGAACAAGCCCCTCAACCCGCCTGGTGGTCATGAGCGTGCGCACATGGGGGCTCGAACAGTATCGCCGTTGATCTGCCCGCTGAAGAACAAGCCCCTCGATTTTCTTCGTCATGAGCGTGCGCTGGCACTAGTAGGCTGGCTGGCAGGTAGTCGTGTTTTGAGACGTCTCAAAACACTTCTTCATACAGGTAGTCGTGTTTTGAGACGTCTCAAAACACTTCTTCATACAGGTAGTCATGCTCCACTGCACAGGCAGGCCTCAGCATGGTTGCTTACCTGAGCAGCGGCCTCCTCGTATCCAGTCGTGCCGTTGATCTGCCCGCTAAAAAACAGCCCCTCAATTTTCTTTGTCATGAGTGTGCGCTGGCACTGGTACGCCGGCAGGTAGTCATATTCCACTGCGTATGCGGGTCTCAACATTGAACAGCGCTCCAAGCCGGGGAGAGAGCGAAGCAGGGCCAGCTGCAGGCGTTCTGGTAGGCCCGTGGAGAATCCCTGGGGTGAATAGGGATGGAGAGTGGTGTAGATGGGTAAACGAGAACGAGTAACGGCACTGATACGCCGACAGGTAGTCGAATTCCACAGTGTATGCGGGTCTCAACATTGAACAGCGCTCCAAGCCGGGGAGAGAGCGCAGCAGGGCTCTCCGTTGAAGACGTTCGGGCAGGTCGGAGTGGAATCCCTGGAGGGTGATGGGGTGCAGAGGGGTGAAGCGGGGTAGATGAGATGAGAGTGAGAAACGGAACTGATATGCCCGCAAGCAGTCATACTCCACTGCGTATGCAGGCCGTAACATGGCACAGCGCTTCAAGCCAGCTATGTGAATTTTACTTGTGAGAATTCCCAAAAAGTAAAATTCACATACTCCACTGCGTATGCATGGCAGGCCGTGCCGTAGCATGGCACAGTGCTTCAAGCCATGGAGGGAGCGTAGCATGGCACAGTGCTTCAAGCCATGGAGGGAGCGTAGCATGGCACAGTGCTTCAAGCCATGGAGGGAGCGTAGCATGGCACAGTGCTTCAAGCCATGGAGGGAGCGTAGCATGGCACAGTGCTTCAAGCCATGGAGGGAGCGTAGCATGGCACAGTGCTTCAAGCCATGGAGGGAGCATAGCATGGCACAGTGCTTCAAGCCATGGAGGGAGCGTAGCATGGCACAGTGCTTCAAGCCATGGAGGGAGCGTAGCATGGCACAGTGCTTCAAGCCATGGAGGGAGCATATTTTGAGACACCTCAAAAACACCCTCGCTACACGTCGCAAGCAGTCATACTCCACTGCGTATGCAGGCCGTAACATGGCACAGCGCTCCGAGCCATGGAGGGAGCGTAGCATGGCTAACTGCAAACGTTTGAGTAGGCCTGTGGAGAATCCCTGGAGAATGGCGGTTCCAGAGGGGTGTAAAGGGGTGAAGAGGGGTAAAGGGCTCGAGAAGCACTGGTAAGCCGGCAGGTAGTCATACTCACGGCCTAAGTGGAGAAAGACGCACGCGTCCTGCTGCGTCCTGCGTCTGATGGGCTCCAAGTGGAGAAAGACGCAGGCCTAAGCTTCCCACCCATACTCACGGCCTAAGTGGAGAAAGACGCAGGCTCATTATTCAATGTATCAATTCTCTCTCTTCTAACATGGTATCATGAGCTAATGGCTCACGCCTACCTCCCTCGGTCCTTAGGCCACCCTCTCCTCCCCGTTCCTCAGATCTAGCCCCACCCACGGAGCTGCCCTCCCTTCACACGCCCTTTCGGGCAGACCGGAAATTTTTTTTGCCTCAGCACAAAATTGACTTTAACGATTTCGACGCGATTGTCAATTTCGTGTCATGTCGACCCCCCCTAACCCATTTCGACCATCAAAAACACCCTCGAGGGTTTACCAAGACAATTCTCCTTCGTAAACCTTAAACCCTGGAAATGTAAAGGGGACAATTTTGCCTCAAATGTGTCGTCGTTACCCCCCCCCTTCCCATACCCTATAACATCATTTTTCGGCTGCCCGGGGGTTTTTTTGCCCTGCCCGGGCATGCGTCTTTTCATGCGTCCTAAAGGCCCTCCTCTAGCATCCTGCGTCTAAGACGCTGCGTCTGGACGCAAGCGTCCTAGACGCAGGACGCGTCTTTGTCCACTTAGCTCACGGCATAGGCGGGTCTCTGCATGGCACAGCGCCAACAGCACTCACTCCACTACCCACCCACCCACCTACCCACCCACCAACCCCACACACCCACACCCACACCCACCTGCACGTAGAGCATATCTTAGGCACCTCAAAAACCACCCGCACTGAAACCCACACCCAACCACCCCAACCCACACACACCTGCATGTAGAGCTCTGGCACGGTTCGGCCCTCGGGGGCTCTAGCCGACACCACCTCCATCACCCACCCCCACCTCCTTGGACACTCACCTCCATCCGCCACTCCCACCCACCCCAACCCACACACACCTGCACGTAGAGCTCTGGCACGGTTCGGCCTTCAGGCTCGAGGAAGATCTGGTGCGACTCCTTGTCCTTGAATCGCACTATCTGTGTGTGCAATCAAAGGGAGGGAAGAGGGCAGAAGGGGGGGGGCACATACGGGGCAGAAAGGGGCAGCAGCGGGCAGAGGAGGGAGTCGACTTATGCGACGAGGCGAACCAGACACCAGCCTCGAGGAACATCAGGTGTGACTCTCAAGGAATCGCACAGATACGTCCTTGAATCGCAATATCTGTGGAGACGACATACCAGGGCAACAGCACGGGGACAACAGCAGGCGGTAGAAGGGGTCAGATAAGGCGGCTTATGAGGTGACTTTTGAGTCGACTCAAAAGTCAACAGGCGGTAGAAGGGGTCAGAAAAGGAGACTTATGAGGCAATTCTGAGATTAGGCTCGATGAAGATCTGATGCACACAGCACACACCCCCTACCTCCCGTTCCCCCCTCCCACCTTGTCCTCTATGCTGGGGCAGTAGCGCGGTCCTCTACCGTCCACCCAGCCGCCATAAGTGGGCGTCTCATGCAGGCTCGCCTGCACCAGCCGATGGGTCTCTTTGGTCGTGCAAGTCAACCAGCAGCTCATCTGCTCCCTCCGTCTCCACACGCTCTCATCACAGCTGAACCACTCGCACACATGCCGCACGCGCGCACACACACGCACACACACGCACACGCACACACACACACGCGCACGCGCACTCACACAAGGCCTCACCTTGTCTTCGATACTCGGGCAGTAGCGGGGCCCACGCCCGTCCACCCAGCCGCCATAAGTGGGTGTCTCATGCAAACTCGCTTCCACCAGCCTATGCGTCTCCGCCGTTGTGCGAGTCAACCAGCAGCTCATCTGCTCCCTCCGCCTCCACACGCTCTCATCAAAGCTGAACCACCGCTCCCCCACGCCGTCGGCTTCAGGGTCGTCCCCTGGCTGCTCCTCCAGCCGGGAGAAATCGACGGTCCGGATGTCGATCCGCGGCGGCGTGCCGGTTTTTAGACGGTCGGATTCAAAGCCGAGGGAGAGGAGGTACTCTGTGAGGCCGTGGGAGGCACCCTCGCCTGCCCTGCCTGCTGGGAGGGACTGTCTTCCCACCCAGATGCGACCATTCATGAATGTACCTGAAGGATAGAGAAGAGATAAGAAGGAAGCAAATCAAAGCCGAGGGAGAGGAGGTACTCGGTGAGCCCATGGGAGGCGCCCTCGCCTGCCCGGCCTGCTGGGAGGGACTGTCTTCCCACCCAGATGCGACCATTCATGAATGTACCTGAAGGATAGAGAAGAGATAAGAAGGAAGCAAATCAAAGCCGAGGGAGAGGAGGTACTCGGTGAGCCCATGGGAGGCGCCCTCGCCTGCCCGGCCTGCTGGGAGGGACTGTCTTCCCACCCAGATGCGACCATTCATGAATGTACCTGAAGGATAGAGAAGAGATAAGAAGGAAGCAAATCAAAGCCGAGGGAGAGGAGGTACTCGGTGAGCCCATGGGAGGCGCCCTCGCCTGCCCAGCCTGCTGGGAGGGACTGTCTTCCCACCCAGATGCGACCATTCATGAATGTACCTGGGGAAAGATGGACAGGGAGGGAAGAGGAGGGAGCAGATGATTTCTTGAAACATAGCTGGATAAAGGTTGACTCAAAAAGTGCCGTGTGCCAATGTAACGAGGTGACTTTTGAGTCGATTCAAAAGTCTGACTGCTAGGAGAGCTGCTTCTTGAGTTCTCTTAAGAAACAGCTACAATCTGCTCCCAAGCACCACAGGGCGTGATTGAGAATCCTCGATGTTGCAGGGTGTTTTTGAAAATTCTCGGTGTTACTGGGTGTTTTTGAGAATTTTCGATGTTACAGGGTGCATTTGAGAATTCTCTAAAAAATACCCTGAGACATCTAGGAAAGCTGCTTCTTGAGATCTCTTAAGAAACGGCTACCAATCTGCTCCCAATCACCACACCAAACTGCTTTGAAACCTGCGTGGTTCCTATGTGGGAGACTTCTGAGACGTCTGAAACGTCTGCTCCCGTCCCAAACCAAGCACAAACCTACCCTGAAACCTGCGTGGGAGAAGGACTCACAAGTCTACGACCACCCCAACCAGTTTAGAGGCGCCTCAAAACCAAACCAAGCACAACCCTACTCTGAAACCTGCGTGGGTCCGTGGGAGAAGCACTTTCAAGTGCTTGCAAGTCTAAGACCACATTATCGTACCTGTGGTGAGCACGACTGCTTTGGCCAGGAAGTCAACCCCAAAGAACGTCCGCACGCCCTGCACGTCGTCGTTGGGCCCCACTATGAGCTCCGTCGCCATCGCCTCTCGGATAAACAGATTAGGCGTGCTGGGGGAGGGGAGGAGAGGGCAGACAGGGGCAGGAAGACAGACATCCAATCAGGAAAGAAGAGGTTGTTGATTTGGATCCGCACACACACGCCCTGCACGCTGTCGTTGGGCCCCACTATCAGCTCCGTCGCCATTGCCTCTCGAATGAACAGATTGGGCGTGCTGGGGGAGGGGAGGAGAGGGCAGACAGGGGCAGGAAGACAGACATCCAATCAGGAAAGAAGAGGTTGTTGATTTGGATCCGCACACGCACGCCCTGCACGCTGTCGTTGGGCCCCACTATCAGCTCCGTCGCCATTGCCTCTCGAATGAACAGATTGGGCGTGCTGAGGGGAACGACATGTGGAGAACGTAACACGGGTGGACAGGGGAAAGGGGAAGAAGACAGGAAAGGATGATTGGGGAGAACACACACGCCCTGCACGTCGTCGTTGGGGCCCACGCCCACCCCACTATCAGCTCTGTCGCCATGGCCTCTCGGATGAACAGATTGGGCGTGCTGAGGAGAGGAATGGGGGGGGAAGGGAGAGGGGGTTGGGCAGACAGTCCGTCAGAAAGCAGGGACAGACAGGCAGGAAAGCAGGGACAGACAGGCAGGAAAGCAGGGACAGGCAGGCAGGAAAGAAGCAGTGGTAACTTAAGAGCTGTACGCCCTGCACGTCGTTATTGTTGGGGCCCACTATGAGCTCCGTTGCCATGGCTTCTCGGATAAACAGGTTGGGGGTGCTTGGGGGAGGGTGTTTAGGGGAGGGGCAAACAGTCGAGAAAAACGAGGCGATTACTTGAGATGCGCACGCTCTGCTGCACGTTGTTGTTGTTGGGCCCCACTATCAGCTCTGTCGCCATTGCCTCTCGGATGAACAGGTTGGGCGCGCTGGGGAGAGGAAGGGGGGGGAAGGGAGAGGGGGTTGGGCAGACAGTTGAGAAAAACGAGGCGATTACTTGAGAGATGCGCACGCTCTGCTGCACGTTGTTGTTGTTGTTGGGGCCCACTACTATGAGCTCCGTTGCCATGGCCTCTCGGATAAACAGGTTGGGGGTGCGTGCTGGACATTCTCGAATGAAGAAAGGGAAAGCAGGGACAGGACAGACAGTCAGGAAAGAAAGCAATGGTTACATAAGAACCTCATGCCCTGCACTGCACGTCGTTGATTCTTTCCTGCATGACGCCCCACTATCTTCTCCGTTGCCTTGGCCTCTCAAGTGAAAAGTTTGGGCCATAGGTGACGCTGAAGAAAGGGAAAACAGGGACAGGACAGGGCAGTCAGGAAAGAAGAGGGTGGTGGATGATTGGAGTCCTCACTGCACGGCAGCCAGTGGGGGCCGGAGGCAAGTAACCAGTCCCGTCAGGAAAGCATCGGCGGTTGACAGAAATCTGCATACACTTTGGCTATGAGCAGCCCCACCCTTCCCAGCAATCACTTCTCCTCTGCCTCCCCACATTGCGCACCTCCTCTGCCTCCCCACATTGCGCACCTCCTCTGCCTCCCCACATTGCGCACCTCCTCTGCCTCCCCACATTGCGCACCTCCTCTGCCTCCCCACATTGCGCACCTCCTCTGCCTCCCCACATTGCGCACCTCCTCTGCCTCCCCACATTGCGCACCTCCTCTGCCTCCCCACATTGCGCACCTCCTCTGCCTCCCCACATTGCGCACCTCCTCTGCCTCCCCACATTGCGCACCTCCTCTGCCTCCCCACATTGCGCACCTCCTCTGCCTCCCCACATTGCGCACCTCCTCTGCTTGCAACCTCTTGGCCCCCTTGCCCCTCTTGTTCTCTCATCATTCCTACCAGCCTTCCATAAGAAATCAACTCACTTCTCCACCACCTTGCCATCTCCTCACTATGCTCCCGCTTGTCTGTCTGTGCTCTGTTGCCACCTCTGCACTCCATACCCCAACCTCTGAGAGACTTCCACCCCAATGCCCCAGCCAACCCTACCCCACCCCATCCTCACTCACTTCTCCACCACCTTGCGCATCTCCTTGCTGCACTTCCGCTTGACCGTCTGTGCTCTGAACGTCCACACACACCACTGGTTGGGCCTTGCCAAACCCTATCACTTACCATCATACCCTATACCTACATACCGCATCCCACCCCTTTCACCCCCCCCCCACTCACTTCTCCACCACCTTCCGCATCTCTTCACTGTACTCCCGCTTGTCCGTCTGCGCCCTTAAAGCCCACACCGCCGGTTGAACCTTGCCAAACCCTCACAACACCTGCATACCGCATCCCACCTCTTTCAACTCCACTCACTTCTCCACCACCTTCCTCATCTCCTCGCTGTACTCCCGCTTGTCCGTCTGCGCCCTTAAAGCCCACACCGCCGGCCCCCGTGACCGGTTGAGCACTCGCTTCTGCACGTAGCACCTGAGGGGTAGAAGAGGGGTGGAGAGGGGGTGGGGAAAGGTGCGGAAAGAATGGAGCTTCGCCCTTAAAGCCCACCCTATTGGCCAGCACAACCGGTTCAGCACTCGCTTCTGCATGTAACACCTGAGAGGTAGAAGAGGGGTGGGGAGGGGTGGAGAGGAGTGAGGAGGGTGGGGAAAGGTGCAGGAAGAATGGGGGTGCGCCCTTAAAGCCCACACCGCTGGCCCCCGCGACCGGTTGAGCACACGCTTCTGCACGTAGCACCTGGGGGGCAGAAGAGGGGTGGGGAGGGGTGGGGAGGGTTGGGATAACGTGGGGGAAGAACTGGGGGCGCGGAGTAGAGGTTTATTGATTATGCTGGCAGTTGTAACTGGTGAAGTCATTCACCATTCCGCACATGCACAGATGAGCAGCATAGCAGTCGCTCGCAAGCATAACATAGCGTCGGCATGGCATGGCATGAGCAAGCAACGAGCCGAACACTCCTTACCTTGTTGTAATGTAACTTGCCTTGTATGAGTAATGCGCCGGGGTCGAGTAATGCTCTTCAGGCGAGCCATTTTAGCACCCAACAGAGACGGAAACTCGCCCAGAAAAACCAACTACTCGCCCAGAAAAACAGTTACTCGCCCAAAGAAACAAATACTCGCCCACAGAAACGAATATTCGCCCAATGAAACGATTATTTGCCCAATGAAACGAATATTCGCCCAATGAAACGAATACTCGCCCACAGAAACGAATACTCGCCCACAGAAACGAATACTCGCCCACAGAAACGAATACTCGCCCACAGAAACGAATACTCGCCCACAGAAACGAATACTCGCCCACAGAAACGAATACTCGCCCACAGAAACGAATACTCGCCCACAGAAACGAATACTCGCCCACAGAAACGGATACTCGCCCACAGAAACGAATACTCGCCCACAGAAACGAATTCTCGCCCACAGAAACGAATACTCGCCCACAGAAACGAATCCTCGCCCACAGAAACGAATACTCAATGGTTAACTACCCACCAGTCACCCCACCCTCGACTTCCTACCTACCCACCAATCAACCCCACCCTGCCTGTTCACCTGTCCGTCATCCTCCCAATCTGCCCGCCCAGAGCATCTGTCTCATGCACTAGCTGTGACTTGGCCAAACCTTCAGAGGCGCATTGAGCGCCAAATCGCATCATTCCCATCATCAATCAACCCCACCCTGCCTGTTCACCTGTCCGTCATCGGTCATCCTCCCAATCTGCCCGCTCAGGGCATCTGTCTCATGCACTAGCTGTGGTGACTTGGCCAAACCTTCAGAGGCGCATTGAGCGCCAAACGCCAATCATACCCCCCAATCATACCCACCCACCCACCAATCAACCCCACCCTGCCCTGTAGGTCAGCTCACCTGTCCGTCATCCTGCCAATCTCCCCTCCCAGGGCGTCTGTCTCATGCACCAACTGTGACTTGGCCGGACCCCCCACTGCTGGGTTGCACGGCTGCAGAAGGGGAGGGAGGGAAGGAGAAACGGGGGGAAAAAGCGGGGAAAGGGGACGAGGGGGGGGAACCAGAGCGTTTGCCTCACGCACCGATTGTGACTTGGCCGTCCGTATCCCCCGGTTGCAAGGCTGGCAGAGGATGGCGGTAAAAGGGGGAGGCGGAAGAGTGTGGAGGATGGGAATGGCTTTTGAGTCGACTCAAAAGTCAGCTCAAGGCTGGCAGAGGATGGTGGAAAAGGGGGGAGCGGGTCGAGTAGAGGATGGTGGTAAAAAGGGGAGGCGGAAGAGTGTGGAGGAACGGAGGGAAGGGAACCAAACCAAGAACCCTAGCCTTTGGACTGCAATGGCTGAGCCCTCAACATAAACCCTTCGACCCTAAGGGCTGAGCCATCAAACCCTGGAACCCAAGGTTCAAGACCAGAGTAGAGTACCTACCCTACCACCTGCCATGCGGGTTTTGCCTAGTGACAGGTGTTGGCAGAATTGTTTCCGAATTTCGCCCCCCCCTGCGGATTAACCCTTAAACCTCGAGCCCGAACCCTGAGTCCATCCTAACCCTAGGACCCCGAGAACCAACCAACCCAGGCCAGACCAGAATAACATCTGCCATGCGACTTTTCTTTACCTCGCGGCAGTGTTGACTGGCAGCAGTGCGTTTCCATGCTTGTCCGCACAACACCACATCTTGGTTCCCAGCCTGGTCCATTCCATAACCACAAGGTAAGCAAGCAACCCCTGACTTCAACTCAGAACCCTTGGCTTGACCACCCACCCACTGGGATGGGACCCACCTGCCATGCGATCTTGTCGAGGGACAGGGTGAGCAGCAGTGTCCTGGCGCCCAGCCTGGCGGACGCCAGTGCTGCCTCGCACCCCTGACTTACCTTGTATCAAGCAGCTCAGAACCCCTCATTCGACCCACCCACCCACCTGCCATGCAATCTTGTCGAGGGACAGGGTGAGCAGCAGTGTCCTGGCGCCCAGCCTGGCGGACGCCAGTGCTGCCTCGCACCCCTGACTTACCTTGTACCCACCTCAGAACCCTTGAACCCGAAACCCTTGACTTGACCATCTCACCCACCTGCCATGCGATCTTGTCAAGCGACAGCGTGAGCAGCAGTGTCCTGGCTCACAGCCTGGCGGACGCCAGAGCTGCCTCACACCCCCCATGCCCCGCCCGCCACCCCATGCTTCTATTCCACCCACCTGCCATGCGATCTTGTCAAGAGACAGAGTGAGCAGCAGCGTCCTGGCGCCCAGCCTGGCGGATGCCAATGCTGCCTCACACCCCGCATGCCCCGCGCCTATCACTATCACATCGTACTGCTCGCCCTCCTCCACTGCTGAGAATGCTGGGCCGTCTGGGAATGTTGAAAGGGAGGAGAATTGGGGAAGCAGGATGCTCTTTCATGATCCATCCACCCCGCATGCCCCGCGCCTATCACTATCACGTCGTACTGCTCGCCCTCCTCCACCGCTGAGAATGACGGGCCGCCTGGGAATGAAGAGAGGAGAGAAGGGGAGAAGCAGGATACAAGGGGTTGAGCTGAGCTTCGCACCCCCCACCCCACGAGTGCCCCGCCCCTATCACTATCACGTCGTAATGCTCTGATCGCCCCCTCTACCGCTGAGAACGAAGGACTGCCTGGGATTGGAATGAAGAGAGGAGAAAGGGAGAAGCAGGAAGCAAGGGGTTCAGCATAAGTTTGCCCACCACGTGCCCCGCCCCTATCACTATCACGCCGTACTGCTTTCCCTCCTCTACCGCTGAGAACGAAGGATTGCCTGGGATTGGAATGAAGAGAGGAGAGAAGGGGAGGAGCAGGAAGCAAGGGGTTCAGCTGAGCTTTGCCCACCGTGTATTGCCTGGAAATATTGCCTGGAAATATTGCCTGGAAATATTGCCTGGAAATATTGCCTGGAAATATTGCGTGGAAATGGAATGCGTGCCCCGCCCCTATCACTATCACATTGTACTGCTTGACCCCCTCTGTTACCAAGAATGAAGCACTTCCTGGGAGTGAAATGAAGAGAGGAGAGAAGGGGAGAAGCAGGAAGCAAGGGTTTTAGCTTTGCACCCCACATGCCGCGCCCGGACGCCTCTATCACGTCACACTGCTCTGCTCACCCTCCTCTACCGAGAACGAGAAAAAGTGGGGAAAGGGGAAGCAGGCAGGAACACACGATGTCCTTTCACGTCCTATTCCCATGCCCCGCGGGCCCCCCCCACACCACGTCCACATGCTCCTGCACTTCCTCCTCTCGCCTGCACACCCCCTCCGCACACCCCCCTGCTCCCACCCCCTCCTCCCACACCCCCTGCTTCCCCCTTACCCTGCTGCCTCACGATTGGCGTCCCCCTCCGCTTCATCCCTCGTTACTTCTCTTCACCCCTCCTTGCCCCTGTTATACCCCTCCTGACCTCTCTACGCTCCCTTCCACCCGTTCTCCACCCCCCTCGCCACCCGTACCAGCGATCGCGCGGCACTGCTGCCTCGAAGGATGCCCCAAGCCGCGCAACAACCGTCCGCCAGCTTCCCGCGCGCCAAAGGCTGCGCCCCCCAAAGCCCCGCAGCTCCACGCAAGCGGAACGGAGCTCAGCGCGCGCCGAGCTCGCTGCGCTGATCCCCCAATAGCGCGTGCGGGCGGGAGAGACGGCGCAATTTGCGAGCGTGCTGAGCGGGCAAGCGACGACGCGAGAACCTGGCGCGTGATCGTTTGCGGGGAGAGCGGAGGGTGTGTGCGAAAGTATACGCCGTTACTAATTGCGCAATCGACTGGCGACGGCAACGTGCGACCGTGCGACGGGCCGCGTCGCCGACCCGACCATCGCGGCAAGCGCGCCAAGCCGTGCCACGTGTCGGTCGCTGGGAAGCGCAAAGCGAACGACGTGGCCATGTCCATGCACGCGTCGCAAGTGCTCGACGCGGAAGCGCACGCGTTGCAGTTGCACGAGGCACGAGACCTGGAGAAAAACTATGTCTTGCCTCGCGGGTCTCGTTCTTACGGAGAAGATACGAGACTGGGGAAGACTGCTAGACACTAGCAGCTCTCACTAAACGCGCGAGATGTTGAAGGTGGGAATGGGTGTTGGCGCAGGGGAATGAATGTGTGTGGCAGTGTGTAGGATAAAGGGTTTTCTAGGGCTTGTTCAGTTTGACGAGCGGGTTTGGTTCGTGCCACTTGAATCGACAGTTTCTGTCCTGGTTTCGTCTCTCGGTCGCTTGTCCAAACAGGCTCCCTTGCAGTTCCATAACAAGTTTCCACTGGAAAACGAAAGTGCTGCCGCGATTGGGCGAGAAGGGTAACTATCTTCGTAACAGGCCCAGTGTCGTTGATACAGACAGAACCGTACCACGCGTCGCCGGGAGGTGGGATTTCCTGTGATGCATTTCTTTCTTCAAATCGGTTTCGGTTCCGGTGTCATTGATTAGGGTTTTAGTTGAGGCTCGGCACTCGTAGAATTTCACTTTGCTAGTAGCGAGGCCCAGGCGCTACTAGCAGCCAGTGCTGCTGCTTCAAAAGTCGCTGCCGCTGTGGCTGCTACGTCGTCCGCGCCTAGTTTGGGAGCATCCATACGGTCAGCCAGGCTGAATGAAGCTTAACTTTTTGCTGCTTCTACTCCTACCAGCGCAACTATGACTGAAATGAGCACTTATCTTGTACAGATTGGCCCCGCTACTAGCGAGGTTTAGGAGCCATTTTGTACAAGAATAATAGAAACTAGCTCAGCTGAATGTGCACCTACGCCGTGTAAATACCCCTTCAAGCGTAATCTCTCCTGCTGGTTCACGCAGCGCAAAGTACCCTAAGTGTCTCGATACGATTTCTTAGGCGCCTCGGAATTCCTCTTTCCGTGTAAGCACTTCCACTCTCATACAGACATGGACACCCTTGGCGGTCCAAGCGTTGCACATCATTCTGACGGTCTCACTACTCCTGTCAGTATAGTGATTGTTGGCGCTGAGGATGCTTCTGGTGCTTGTGCCCTTGAGGGTGCTAGAGCTGGGGGTGCTGCTGGCGCTGGTGCTGTCCCTTCTGGTGCTGGTGCTTCTGAGGGTGCTGGCGTTGGTGCTGCTGGAGCTAGTGCTGCCGTACGTGGTGCTGGCGCTGTTCCTGCTGGTTCTGGGGGTGCTGCACGGCCGCGGCCGTACTTCGTTCCGCTCCTTGAGCAGGTTCTTGGTCTTCCGCCCTCCACTAGTCCGGCTCCTCCCTTAGAGTGTCCACCGCCTGTCCGGTCTGAGTCACAGTTACAGCCTACCTCTCCTCTGCCTGCTCCTTCTCCCTACACTGGTCCTACTGGAGGTCTTGTTGAGCCTCGTGAGCCTGCGTCTCGCCCTGTGTCGCCTTTCTGTGCTGCTCAAACTGGTGGTTGTGGTTCGCGCCAGCGTCCTCCCCCCGTCCCCGGTACGCACCGGATGTCTCTGCGTCCGTCCACTGCTCCTCTGCGTGCCCCTTTGCCTTCTCTGCCTAAGTCCTCTCTTCTTGCTCTTGTTGACCCGGAGTCAGACTCCCTTCGTGCTACCAGTCCTACTGTCACGCGTCTCCTTGCTACTGTTGTCACTGACCCTTCCTTTGAGTCCATTGCGGCGACTCCCCTAGTTGCTCAGCTTGTCGACTTCGCTGCTCGCTGTCGTCTAGACTACGCTGCTAGTCTGGTTACTGAGTCTGTGTCTGTCTGTCCTCCGTCCGTTGGGGGTGAGTGTGCTCTTGGCACGGACGTCCTTGAGGACTGACAGGAGGACCTCCAGTGTCTTGCGGCTGCTTCACCTCATCTCGTGTCCACGCTGATTGCCCCTGAGGGAGACCCCGATGCACCAGACATCCCGACTCCTCGATCGTACGCTCAGGCGATCGAGGGTCCCTACTCCTCACAGTGGCAGTCAGCCATGGACGCAGAGATGGCTTCCTCGAAGTCCACAGGCACCTACGTTGACGAGGTTCCCCCGCCTCGGGCGAACATCGTCAGTGGCATGTGGATTTTCAGGGTGAAGCGGCCGCCGGGTTCTCCGCCTGTCTTCAAGGCGCGTTACGTGGCTCGTGGCTTCAGTCAGCGGCACGGAGTTGACTACTTTCAGACCTTCTCTCCCACCCCGAAGATGACCACTCTTCGGGTACTGCTGCACATAGCCGTTCACCGTGACTACGAGCTTCACTCTCTTGACTTCAGCACTGCTTTCTTGGAGGGCAGCCTGCACGAGGAGATCTGGCTGCGCCGCCCACCTGGCTTCACTTGGACTTTTCCTCCTGGCACCCAGTGGAGCCTCCGACGGCCAGTCTACGGTCTCCGCCAGGCACCTCGTGAGTGGCACGACACACTGAGGACTACACTTGCGGCTCTTGGGTTTGCTCCTTCTACTGCCGACCCGTCGCTGTTTCTGCGCATTGACACCTCTTTGTCGCCGTTCTACATCCTCGTGTACGTCGACAATTTGGTCTTTGCCACAGCTGACACTGCTGGACTCGCCTACGTGAAGTCCGAGCTGCAGAAGAGACACACGTGCACAGACCTGGGTGAACTGCGCAGCTACGTTGGCTTGCAGATCACCCGGGACAGAGCACAGTGCACCATTAACCTGACTCAGTCACACATGGTGCAGCAGGTCCTTCAGCGCTTCGGCTTCACGTACTCCTCGCCTCTGGCCACTCCTCTGTCTACTCGCCACTCGCTCTCAGCTCTGCCTTCGGATGAGTCCGTAGAGTCGAGTGGCCCGTACCCAGAGCTTTTTGGCTGCCTCATGTGCCTGATGACCTGCACTCGACCTGACCTTGCATACCCTCTTAGCATTCTGGCACGCTATGTTGCTCCTGGGAGACACAGACCAGAGCACATGGCTGCAGCAAAGAGGGTGTTGCGCTACTTGTGCAGTACGTCAGGCATGGGGCTAGTGCTTGGAGGGCGGAGTCCAGTGGTCCTCACTGGTCACGCAGACGCTTCTTGGGCTGACGACCAGGCTACACAGCGGTCGTCACAGGGGTACACCTTCAGCCTTGGTTCCGGCTCTGTTTCGTGGCGGGCTACCCGCTCGTCTTCTGTTCTCGGCTCCAGTTGTGAGGCTGAGACCTACGCAAGGGCCATGGCTGCACAGGAGCTACGCTGGCTCACCTACCTGCTGACTGACCTGGGAGAGCCGCACCGTTCTCCTCCAGTTCTGTACGTAGACAACAATGCCATGCTGGCCTTGTGTCGGGAGCACAGACTGGAGCACAGAATGAAGCACATCGCTCTTCGCTACTTTCTTGCTCGTGAGCTGCAGCAGCGCGGTCAGCTGCGCCTTGCTTACGTGGCCTGTGAGGCCAACACTGCTGATATCTTCACCAAGGCACTCGCGCCTTGTGATCATCAGCGCTTCTGTACTCTGTTAGGTCTTGTGCCTACCTTGCCTCACTTGCTCACTTCTTGACCTTGCTTGTACTATTTCATATATATATATACCTGCTCTTGCTTGTTTAGCGTTATATATATGTAATCATGCATGTGAACTGGCCTTGTGGCCTTGACTTGTGCTCAGAATGTGTAGTGACGTTATGATCCACCTTGAGCTTGCTTTGCCTTGCTTTGCTTGACTGATCTTGTGACCCCTTGTTCTCCCCCACTTTACCTATGGGGGTGTGTCAAACTTATATGATCTAGCCTGTGTAGGCTGTAGCGGGTTAGACACTAAGGGGTACACAGTTTTAGGGTTTCATATTTGTATCACTTTCATTCCTTAGTCATTCATTCTCGTTCTAATCTCCACATGAAGGAGGTCTTGGAGCAGTACAAGGATGTAATGCCCGATGACCTACCCGCAGGTATACCTCCAGCACGCACCCACGAGCACGAGATCGTGGAGGAACCAGGTGCGAAACCTGTCTCACGTGCACCATACCGACTAAGTCTGACCGAACTGGCAGACATGAAGAAACAGATAGAATATCTACTGGACAGACAACTGATCCGCCCATCCACCTCTCCCTACGGTGCACCAGACCTCTTCACTCCAAAACCAAATGGCAGTCTAAGGATGTGCATCGACTACCGCGCACTGAATAAACAGACAGTCAAAAACAAATATCCCATACTGCGCATAGATGACCTACTA